TGATTGCCAGCACCAATGAATTTGTTTAATTTTCAGTGCTGACTTATCACGTGCTCAGCGATGAAGGAAACGCCGTGAGGAAACTCGCATATTTTCACAGCCGTCTGTTTTGGGCCGCCCGATTACCGACCGAGCTATTATAACATTTTTTTTGCGGCGAACAGTCATATTCGAATGATATTTTTCATTCCCTGAAAAGAGGGATAAAAGGACATTTTCTAAAAATGAAACCTAGCTAGATCGATTTTCCGCCCCACGAACCTACGCACGTACTAAATTTCATGAAAATCGCTGGAGCCGTTTCCGAGATTCCAATTATATATGTATACATATACAAGGATTGCTCGTTTAAAGGATAAGATTAGACGGTGATTAACACCATAAAACGGCAACGTGCAAGTATTATTTATAGTCTTGTAAACATTAGATACGTAAGATAGTTCAATAGTAAAAGTCTTTATACAAGTCTGTTAATTTTCGACTGTGACTCCAACACCGATACAGACATCCCACAATAAGTTAAAATAATTTTTTAACTATATTTCGAAAATATGCAGGTTGCCTTAGGAAATTTTCCTTCACCAATAAGGCTGTTTCAAATGAGCATTTAAAATTGCAACTAACTATTTTATAGGTGCAAGTGCTCTGAAATGGTCATATTTCTTCCAATAAAAATAGAAATTATTTTTTGTTTCAACCTGTTTTCTATTAAGATTATTTGACATTACATATGCTTACAGGATTCCTGAACTTTTTGTTCGCACATTTAGATTAATGTTTTTTTTTACTTTTAAAACATACTTAACTTTTTTTTTATGTGAGAAGGTGGCAAGTGTGTTGCCGGTTCACATGAAGTTAAGCGATATCCGCCGCACATCCACCAGCCGGAAAATTGAAACACCCGTTCAGTTGCAGATGCGTTGCCACCTTTTCATAAAGTCGGCACCGGCTATCTCACTCGCCGGACGAAACGCGCAAGTATAAAACTTCCACTTCACACCGCTCTTCTGTGAGGTCGTGGTACTACCCCAGATGGACTTGCCCATTCGTGCAATAGCGAACTGTTGTATGGTCGTACCACAGCTAAGTACTTGTATGCCACAATAATGGTATGTAAAGGGTACATGATCGTATGTCGTTATGATTTTTTGTTAATAAGCGGTATTTAGAGAATGCAGGACAAACCAATTATGTTTAATTACACTTTCTAAATACACAACTGAGCATTATAAATAACATTTTAGTGGTTATGTCACACATTGACAAACGTGTGCATTCGCTGTGATAATGCGACTAAAACTTTAAACTACACGAATCGGCGTAATTTGCATGCCTCAGTTTCGGCGCCCTAGTCATATCTATCGTATTTGTATATAATATCATTGGGCCAAACTATCAATACATACCGAAGACAATGAAAAAAGAAAAGATTTTAAGATACTCGCCAGTGCGATTATAACCATTGTCGGATAAGTCTTATCAATTATTACTCCTTAACAACTGCGCACTATTTATATGAGCGTGTTTTGTTTGTCACAGACGTGAGGTAAAAATAGGCAAACTTACTTAGTAATTAACTAAACTAAACTATTACTATATATAACTAACTTAAAAAACTTACTTAGTCTCACTGCTAGGCAAAGGCCACCCTTCTCTTCTTCCTTACAGCTCGATTTTCGGCTTTAGTTTTTCGGTTCTTTGTCGTTTGTCTTTGGTCTTTGACTCCTAATCAGTTATGATCTTAGTGCTGCCTTTAGAATAACATTAGCGATTTTCGTTTTGGTGCGTAGTGCCATGAACGTATTATAAGTCAGTTAATTTATCTCAGAGGATACTCTTTAAAAAAACGGTTGCCTCGGTAAGGACTGGGACACAGTATACATCCTTAAATTTGCGTTCATTTGGTTTTTCAAGGATAAGTTGCTCTTCTAGATATTTTCGTTGCGTCTAGCCGCTTCTTAATCTAGACGACGATTATTCTAGACGCCTGGCAAGGTTACTTACTTTTTTACTTTGGTAAATATATCCATTCATATAATCAATCACCTAAGCCGCATTTAATCTACGTCGATCTACGCTGGCGACTGTTAAGTTTTGCTCACATCTCGAACATTATTCTTAGTTATGTGTGTGAGGAATATGTGGTAAATAGTCTAGAACAGAGAGAGATAGAGACTTTACTGCTCTCGTGATTCGAAAAGGTTGCTGATGCTGTATATTTTAGCTGTTACCATGCTATTGTAGAAAACTACACGTAGAGGTTTAGTATGGGTCGCTAAAAAGAACAACAAAAAAGTAGCAAATAGTAGTTGTAATAATAGCACCTAATCCAAAAATTCGAAGTATAATAAATATTTTTTGATTTTACACGGTTCATACTCGAATACTCATTTAGTCTGAATATAGGACTGAATAAATTTTCCTCTCCATCTCTTTAATAATTAATAATGATGACGCTGTGACTGTAATTGCAATGACCAACACAACAATAAACTAACCAATCAAAATCGATGATCTAACTCTAAGACCTGAATACGTAAATGCGTACACAGCTAAGTGTAGCTTGGATGTTGTTTGTTGGCATGTTATCATGGATAATAACCGACAGTGTCTCCGTCACACGAATCGTCTAGGGGTTACCCTGTTCATTATGATATCTGATTCAATTAGTGCATTCGGAAAATTAAATTATTTATAGTGTTAATATCTGCACTTAAGATTGAACATCACAATATGTAGAAAAAGTACGAAAAGATTGTCGCCGTTGTGGGAATCGAACCCACGTAATCGGCATTCGCGGCGTGACACTTCAGCCACTGAGCTAAACGGCTGATTGCCACACTGACGAAAATCTTAACGTCTTTTATCTACATTGTTTCTTAGCATTTGAAGCAATGCTTGGTGCATCCATTGTTATATCCTTTCCAGCATACAAACAATTTCGAATATCGTTTTAAAACGATAATTCGAACGAGAGATGTCGCCAAACATTGCTTGGCAACGTATGCGTACCAACGCTGTGCATATCTTTTCAACCGACTTTAAAAAAGGAAGTGGTGCTCATTTGGGTTGCATACATACATCAATGAACTCCTGGAAATCATAAAGAAAATGTGCAGTGAGTGAGATATTTGAAGAGGGTGAGTATAGATTAATTTGATTTGCTCTCGTTATCTAATGTGTGTAACGTAGTCCGTATACAGCCATTTCCTTGAAGTCGCAGGAAGCATGAAATATCGAAATATGTATATTGAAATCTTTCTTGGTTCCAAGCCACGTGAGCTAGCTTTGTTAAACAACGTGTTATCTACTCATAATTTGTTGAATATATTTCGTCTGTAAGCTAATGATGAAAAAATTACATTTTCTTTCCAAATTTTGTGTAAAATTTTTTAAACTTTAGTAACTTTCTAAATATTTATTTACATATTTCCTTCGTCCTTCACGATTTATTATTTGTAGCACTGCGTGCGTAATTTATGTGTTAGAAATGTTTCATACTGAGTACATTATTACACCATGATTTATTCATATATTATTGATTTCGACTGTGAACGTTGTATCGAATTTGTCGAAATAAATGCGATGTTTATGTCCTAGCAAGGAATCGACGAACACATAAATTGTTGCGAAGAACTGTGGTAGGGATACGCAACAGTCTACACTGTTGCACGAATGGGCAGTTCCGTTCTGGCAAGTACCACGAGCTCTCAGAAGACCGGCGTTCCACTTCTGCGTCTTGTCTGGTGGGTGAGGTAGCTGGGTCCACTTTATTAAAAGGTGGCAACACATCAGCAATTCTACGGAGGTTGCAAATGTCAATGAGTACGGTTATCACTTAACACCAGGTGAAGCTCGTTTGCCACCTTCTCACAATGAGAATAAAATTAAGAAAAATACAAACACTGCCGAGATGCGAACCTATGACTGCAATTTGCAAAATTGATCGATTAATAAACAGAAATTGTTGCTGCTTAATGCATCCTGGCCGGAACTACTTGTTTGATACTAGTGATTGTGTACGGAAACGGATATTCCTCATACCTCTCTTAAGGATGTGAACATCATTTAATACATTTATAGTGCGGTAACTGTCGCTATGACCAGATTAAGATTGTGTGTTACACTGCGAATTCTATGGTAGTGCCAAGCATCAGCGTCGGCTGTTGCACGAATGGGCAGGCGCAGACAGGCAAAATACTAGGGCCTCACGGGGTAGGATGACCGGGGTAAAGTGTAAGGTATAATTATTTCGCATTTCGTCTAATAAGTTACATAACGGAGGCCAACTTTTTATTATTGGGAAAGCATCTGCAACCCGTCACGCACACGCACCCGGCAATAAATTGATTACATACGAGGCATTTTGTTCTTTAAGGTTCGGCGCTATGTACTCTTTTTAACCTACTTTCAAAAATGAGGAGGTTCTATGTTCGACTGTACGTATTTTTTTTAAATTAGATATAGTTGATGATAGTTGAAAAAGATACCAAAATGAACTCTGATATGTATGATACCAAGATCAGGCAGAAATAGATTCTATGAAGTTTCCTATTTATTTTAAAGAGGACCAAATATATAAAGACTTAAATTAATTAATTCAGCTCCTTTTGACAAAAGACCTGATGAATTAAAAGGCAATTTTACGAGTATTTCTACCTGATAGCCGTAGAGTGATTACAAGAAAGACATCATAATTTATAGAATTATGTATTTTTTTATATAAACGCTGAAATTCTTATTCGGAAGAGCCCTGATTAGAACTTAGGAATGGCAACTAATTTAAACGTTTATAATTGAGCCACAAGTCGACCATACAAATCCGGTAACAATTAATTATCTTTTCCTTTGTCTTTTATTATAGGCACAATCGACAGAGTTCGCGGTTTGTCTGATCGCCACATACTATATTATGTATCTTACGATTCATTCAACAATCTCAATCTAGAATATCAGTGCTTACCCGACATTCGCACTGCTCGCTCCGGTATTGTTGCGAAATGGCTCTACAATTACATTCATACAAAGATCACGCTCACATCGGTTATGTCGTGTTCGATTGCTTGGGGAGTGCCCCGGACGAGGTTTGTCAGGTCAGTTATTTGTGTACCTACTCATCTCAGGTGTTTGCATTGCTTGCATATGTTGCATCGTAGGTATCTGTTGTGGTATCCGTAACGGAAATAATAAATGACTAATATACGTAATTGTAATACGATGGTGTTGAAGGAAAGGTTAAGTAAATATTTTAGTGTAATGTGTAAATATGTTTTAAGAATGAATGTACTTTTAAGGATTTATCGCGTTTAATTTTAATTATTATAACCCCCGATGTTTTGCAACATTCACGGTCACAACAGACTGGGCTAAAGATTTTTGAATGTCATTTCACGTCAAAAAGGGGATTTAATTTTTTTAGAATTAAAAAAAAAAAACAAACTCAATTATAGTATTTCAATAAATGTATGAAATGATTTATAGATTTATGCGAATAGTATATTTAGCGTATTTCTCGCGATTTTTCATTGAGAGTTCAAAATTCATTATTAGTTCTACGAAATTTACATTGAAATTAATATATTGTACAAAAATAGCTTCTCTCTTTATTTATAAAAACCCTTTTTGCGTAATTTTTTCCATGTTTATAGACAGTTAGTACAAGAAAATCTAGCAACGATTCTTTAATCTTTGCTAGATAATACTCAATTATACTCGTAGAATCGATGAACCCTAGAAAACGCACTACATTTACGGCTGCATTTTGGCTGCGCTATTATATTACTTTTATAAATCCGAATATATACACTAGGAAATAATAATATACTATATAAAGACGTACAAGTTAAGCTCTAATTAACTATATAAATCTAAGCATCTAACGTAGAGCTGCTAGAATCAACGACAACCGGGTCATCTCCCATGCATTTTCTATCCTTCTGTTTGGATTAGTAACTCTTTTTTTATATGAGAAGGTGGCAAACGAACTGGCGGTTAACCTGATGTTGAGGGACAACCGCCGCTAATTGACATTTGCAACACCTGTAGGGTTGCAAATGTTGTGTAGTCAAATTAAAATAGCTAAATGTATTTTGTAATTTTTATAGTCATAATTAACCTCTGCCCCTAAGATGAAACATTAAAGTTTGGATAAAACCCGCCCCGGCTTCACATGGGTGCAATGTATTATACATATAAACCTTCTTCTTGAAACACTCTTATCTAGTAAAAAAACCGCATCAAGATCCCTTGTGTAGTTTTAAAGATCTAAGCATACATGGGGACAGACAGACAGCGGGACGACTCTATTTTATACTATTATCCGGACGGAAACTTGGCAGAGATTGGCACTAAAAACATTGCAAATAGCTATGGCGACGGGTGGGTTCAAATTATCGTTGTAAAACGAAGAGAATATAACAATAGACGCGCCAAGAATTAATAATAATAATTTTGAATAAGAATTGTTTAAAATGTGTGGCAATCAGCCGTTTAGCTCAGTGGCTAGAGCGTCAGGCCGCGAATGCCGAAGACGTGGGTTCGATTCCCACAGCGGCGACAATCTTTTCGCACTTTTTCTAAATATTTTAATGTTCAATCTTAAGTGCAAAGATTAGCACTATAACCAATTTAAATTTCTAAAAAAAAAAAAGCAATGGCGACATCTCTCGTTCGAATTATCGTTGTAAAACGATATTCGATGTTCCATTTTTTAAACAAATTTTAATACCAAATATGTTATAAGTATTAATGAATATAGATACCGTTTAAAACGTGAAAAAATGATGTAACTTTGGGTTGATTGCCCGTGGGATGATAGGTCCTATAGACAGTAACTATTACTATATGACTATAACTATATCTACCTGTAACTGACGATGTGTTGACAGATTTTAAAATAATGACACTACCTTTACTTACCTCCTCATTTGCGACTTCTTTCGTAAGTGAAAGAGGAAAGAGCAATGAGTGAAATATTTTGCCATCGTAGGATTTCCCGTCTAATTACATTGAATGAATTAAAGTCAAAATTGAAGAGTCTGCGAGCGTTTATAACACCACCTAAGGCACGCACGCATTTCGTTATCAAGTTTGCTTTTTACTATCAAAAGCGGCAGCTACCCTTTCCTATTATTGCTGTCATTTGCTTGGAGTTAACGAAACCTAAGTATGATTTTTATAATTTTCATGTGATGCGTGAGGTTACACGGCAGCCTTTAAAATATTCGTCCAATTTTAAAAAAGTTTTTAAAATTTAACCCCGGAAAATCCAGTTAGATTACAATTAAGTGGCCAGCTATATTTTTAATGTTGATACCAGTGTATGATGAAAAGAAAGAAACGTTAATAAATAAAGTATAAGACTATACATATACTTTTTATGTCGTATCGCAAATTGCGAACTTATGCTATTATAAGTTACAAGTGATGCATACATAGATTAGTCTGATGCATGTTTACTGCACAGGATGATGAATTTAAATAGTTGGTTTTTTACACTGATCGAGGCCACTTGGATTAATGTTCAAGGTCGTGGTCCAAAGTCAATGGAAAAAGAATATGGAAATCAAACGTTTTTTGTTGGGCAAATAATTCTGATCGGTATAACTAAATTAGCACCGGCTAAAAATAGTTAAACGACCTTCAAAGAAATAGTTTAACATAATCAAACAATCACAGTGCATATATGTATATCATTGCATCTGTTTTTGTTGGTAAGCCATATCTGCCTTAATACTTTATCGAATATTAAAATTGAGAAATTATTTTTAAGATTAAATTCAATTGATGTGACGAAGTAATAACAATAGAGCTTAAACGAAAATTTTTTTTGAAGTTTCGGTTTTAAAATACTTTTATGATACGTTTTACGTTTGCATAAAGAATGGTGAATGCGTCCCACATATTTTTTTAATGTAAAACAAGGCAAACGACCTGGTCGCACGATGGCCAATGCTGTCCATGAACATTCGCAAAACGCTTTAGTTAAAAATGAGTTGACGGCCCCTATTAAGTATTAAATGTTACTTGTGCTGTAAGACCTTGATTATTAAACAATTTTATTATAGCGGTATTATGGGTAAATAAAGAGCCCTCGGCGTACGAGTTCGACTCGCACTCGACCGGTTTATTTTTTATATAATACGTGTTCCATGCGGTACACGGGCCTTGACAGGGTGATTAAAATTACAGAAGCATTTACATCGTAAGTTCAAGTTTAAGGGGGTTATCTTTTTTTTATAATTTTTATACACTTATTCCCCTGCTAGCCTTATTGAGGGACCTTTTATAACTTTCGGTGTGTTACAATCTTACATTGGTAATCTTGAAGGGTTAACAACCTGTGTTACAATCTTACACTGCTAGTCTTTAGAAGGTTTTATTATCCAGTGCGTAATCTTTCACGGCACTTGTCAATTGTCGTTGGGAACAACTTCGCGAGTTTAAATTTTTTTAGGACGTTTACAAAAAATTTAAAAAAAACACCTCACGTAATTTATGGACGCCCCCTTATGTCTTTGGTGAATTTATATATGATTCAAATGGTAATCGGTAATCTCTTCGCCGAATTTTACTCTTTTATTTTAAAAACGATAAAGTAAATTTAGCGGAATGCAATTACTTTTATAATAATACTAGCTTTTCGCCCGCGGCTACACCCGCATTGTAGCCCTTAAATAAATACCTTTTTTTTTTAAAAATCTATTTTTTTTGATAAAAATAATCCTATTTTCTTTTTAACACCGCTAAGAATATGTGTACAAAGTTTCATGATAATCGGTTGAGTAGTTTTAGCGTGAAAGCGTAAAAGATTTATATATAAAGATTACAAATAAAGATTTATAATATAAGTAGGGATTATTTATTCATATTTAAATATTTAAAAATGGAATATCCCAGTGAAAAAGAAAAAAACGCTTTATCCAATCGAAGTCACTTTTTTGAAAGTCACTCAAAAAAGTGATTTCGTGTAGTGACTAGTGACTCACGTGACCCAAGCCATAGACAGCCCGTAAAGCCCGCTTTTCCAATACAAATATTGTGTCTAAACCGGATGCGGAACCCCAAAGTAAGACACCGTAAGACATTATGCCGTGAAAAGAAGCATAATAAACTAATTTAGCTGTTTCCTCGTTAGTTAGCTGCCTGATCTTGGATATGGCAAAGACGGCAGCGCTCAATTTCTTAGCTAATTTATCTACATGAAATCCCAACGCTTACATTAGTTATAGATAAATCAACAAAAACAATTTCAAATATATTATGCTGCAAATAATTTCAATACAGATAGACGCGGCGACAGGACAGGAAGAGACCAACGGCTCGGTGTTGTCGCGGTCTATTCGGTTGGCAAGGGCGCTGAGGAGTCATGGGTTACAGCCAGGGGACGTGTTGGCATTCGGCGGGAACAACCATATCGATCTTTACATACCTTACTACGCAGCGTTGTTAAACGGCCACCCAATAGTTGGTGTCGACCCCTGGTATAAATACGGTGAGTGTTACATATTATAACGAGTGAAAACTTCAAATGTAAGCTGTTTACACTCCTATGAAGATTGTAGAAGAGTTTCATACTTTGTTTATTTAAAGGAGTAAACAGTAAACCTGATTCGATTGAAACATTTTGTAAGAGCTAACTTATTGCCTATTCTTGTATCTTGTATTAACTGATGTTTTTGCTTTCAGTCCCGTGACTATTAAAGCTTCATCTGAAGCAGAATCGGTGGGCTAGCAAGAACCCACGGGTTTGGGCCCTCCGCTGTGGGTAGGGCCACGCATGTGCTCATGTGTGCGTTTAACTATGGTATGTCACCTAAGGGCCATCGAGGTCGCGGTTTGGACCGAAACCCCAATGGCCGGCGACTGTGCAATTAGCTAATCGATGGCTGGGAGCGGTGAGAACCGCCCCGGAATGCACCTTGTGTTGTGTTGGTCTCGCCGTGCTCGAAAGCGAGGGCGAAATAGTGTGTTTGTTGTTGAACTAACTGTGGGTGTAGTGTTATCCGGCGGGAGCCCCGGCGGTGGGTTCGACGTATCTAAGTCCCCTTCCTCGACCGGGTCGATGAGGACGTTTCACGGGCGACGCTTGTTGACGTTCGCGTTTGTGTCGGGTTGGTAATTTGCTGCGCTTACCACCAGAGGCTTGGGATAATGTTCGGCTCTATCGAAAAACCGTTTGGTCAGGTCTTTAGAATATTCGCGAAGGCTGCCTATTATAATGTTATATGGCAAAATACATTGCGGACAATGATGTGTGGAAATAACTCTTGCTCTGTACTTGCAATTCCCCTGGCTGCTGCTGATTTTATAGTTAAATAGTCTTGTAAAATTATTTAAGTAAAAAATATTATAAGATAATAATAATAAGACCGAGAGGTTCTAGAAATTTGACGTAAAAAGACGTTTGAAAAAGACTGTGACGGTACCTAAATTATGAATTCTAGCACATTGGACATTGCGTAACTGCAGAGATGTACCAGATGCGTTGCCAATACGGCAATCTGTGAGATCAAAGTAAATCTCCAGTCGGGCCAACAAATTAAAGCTGCATGCGTGGCTCGACCATATTGTAATGTTCGATAGAAAACTGTCTTTTGATCTTATCTATTGTGAAATTCAAGACTAGTGGAAGATTTATTAAATAAGTTTTGGGAGCGTGTAATGATTTGGGTAGAGTTGAAGAAAACATTCGTAATGTTAGTGTAGTAAACGTTCTAGCCAAACATTTAATATTGATATCTTGAGATATTTGGCAAATAGATGATTTACTTTTAATCTGTAAAGCTTTTTCGCATTTATACCTCACTTTATTGGTCCCTGTTTCAGATGAAATAAAATCATTATTTAAAATAACACGACCGTCAATTGCTTTTTGCGACCGTACTTCCCGTGTTGACTACGAAAGAGCGGCTGATGATCTGGGCCTCAGCATAAAAGTAGTATGCTTTGAGGATGGCGAATGCTCAATAAGAGAGTTTGTCGATACGTACAATGTCAAAGAGCCCGAGAGTGACTTTAAGTAAGTGCATATAATATTTTCTTACCCTATCGTATGATTCATATGACATGATTTTTAGTTTTTAGAACTTTTCTAACAATGTTTGAAATTTTAAGACGTAGTCTACAGACGTTTTTAACTAGGTTTTAATTATGAAAGGAAATGGCAAGCGAGCTAGCTGTTATAATGGAGAAGAAGTTTAGTTTCAGCTGTTATCAAAATCGATACAGTTCTTATCGAATTTCAGTCGCTCAATTCGCCTTTGCACTTTTGTATGTCATCTACCATTCAATTAGAATTATTGTTTTATGTAAAAAAAGGGCAAACAAGCAAGCAGTTCACCACCACCCACGGACATTCGCAATACCAGTCAAGTTGCAGATGGCATACCAACCTTTTAGAAAACCACGCCCTCAAAACGAAACGCAAAAGTATAATAATACTTCCTCTTCGAAGATATTCTGTGAGACTTCCCTGGACAAGTCTGCCGATTCCTGCAACAGCAGAAGCTGCTGCGTGATTCCTCGCATCCCAATTTAGGTCTATAAATTATTGGTCTTTTTCATTTTCAGAATAGCTGACTTTGACGTGGAGAAAATTTATGCTTTCTTAGTGTGTACTAGCGGTACAACCGGCCTTCCAAAAGTGGCTGCATTCAAACATCGAGTTATTATAGAAAAGTTTGTCTCGTTCATTAACTTTGTTAGAAGCCCTGGAACTGCGTGAGTAGTACTTATTCACTTAACCACCAACTAAGGTTTATGACCTCGTGTTAAATTCAAGATCATTTAAGGTATTTTAACATGTGCGATATAATTATTTCGTAAACTCGTATTCATCTGAATACTACAGGTTTATTTTTTTAGCTTTGTATATTTTATTTTATAAAATAAATAAACTTAAGCACTCCAATATATGATTGTATGCCAGTTGTATCTATTTTTTTATAATCTGTCTTTTTAAATATTATCCAAAAGTACATAAAAGTAACAAATAAAGTAACACCCTATACTTATGTCCAACTGCTGGAGAAAGACTTCCTTTATACGGCGTGGCGTTACACCCGCGATAATAAATGAACGCGTATAATATAGAGGATAACTTTTTAAAATAGTATTTAGCATTTACATTCTTTAAACGTCAATATTTACCGAGTTATTAAATTTTCCAAAACAAATAATTTTAGAACATCCTTACGTATAAAACTGTAGCGTAAAATTCATTTGAAAAGGTTACAATGCATATGAATGGGTCGAATGAATTTAAAAGAGATAAAACATACTGTTAGGAGAGACTTGTAATGCGACGCTGTGGCAACGAGTAAAAACGTCTCTGAATGTATGAATTTAGTCGTATAGGATGTTACAAGTTTTGTTTCTTTTTTTAATTAATTAGTTTGAATTTTTTTTTTAACTATGGATTTTATTTACATTTATATTTTTTATGATTATTGGCAAGTAGCGTTAAATGCGTGTTCATTTATTGTCGCGGTTGTAACGCCATGATGTATACATATTGTGGTTATTAGGCCAGCAGTCCACCACACGACTCCACTGCGTAATGGCAGACTTCACATATTTTAGAAAAATATTTTTTGTTATTATTTCATATCAAGTCAATTGCAATGAAAAATTTCATTATTGAATTAAATTAAAAGCGAATTAGCGATCTCTGAGCAATTACGGCTCGAGTAACATAGATAGTTAGATACATCATTTTTACAGACGCACCGTAGGACTAAATCTATCACCAGTGCAATGGATTTCCGGGATGTTTAACGCCATTTCTATGCCTATTATGAATCAAGTAAAACTTCAGACTTCCAAGTCGGACGATGTGGAACATTTGATCGAAATCATAAATAAATATAAGGTGAAGTATATTTTTTCTCGCCCTTACTTCCGTTGTCGTTTAACAGTATCCGATCTGATTTCCGTGAGGGTAATGGGCTAATATATTAACTCTTGATATTCCTTATAAAACGTGTTTAATTATAGAAATATCTTGGATGTGGTAAAATCATCGTATCAATATTACAACTTCTCCTTCCAGTTTGTTTTATGTTATCAGTTATTCGAGTACCTAGTTAATGCAATGTAAATGTGCTTTAAATGTAATCTATCTTGAGTGCAACGAATTGATAACTCTTAATATTTTCAAGGTCAGTTAACAATCGGTGAATGTCCGATTACGGGGCCGCAGTTTTAATCTGCTGGCCAATTGTACCAATGATGCAAAAATCACTGTCTCACACTTGTCACAGTGTCTGTCAAGTTTGAGACTAAAAGAAGCTCGACTTGACTATTTTTAACGGAGTTCTAAAACGTTATTTTTGTGTTAAATGTCTAAATTTTGTTTTTCTCAGCCGGATTCGGTGATGTTCAGCCCGTCACTAATGTCTGTTATGGTTAAACGGCGGGATGAAATGGACCTTAGCTGCTTCAAGAATATCATTGTGACAGGAGCGAAGACCAACCCCGACGTGATTAATGATCTACGGGTATAAGTTCTGTGCTTAAATCGGTTATACTTAGTATTGTATTGTAACTGGCCTTTATCACGGGAAAGGCCCATGACTTGCCTGCGTGTGTGGCCGTTTAAAATTTCACATTTCCGTCACAACAGTTGTGTGCTATATATGTATATTATATAGTTGTCAACATTATCATCTCATACTCGGAAAATTTATAACACTTTTTTTATGTTTAATGTTTATTTTAGTGCTAGAGTGATGAACTCAAGATGAAACTTTAAATTGTAATTTTTTGTAGATAAATGAGCAAACACTTTGGGCACTGCGGGATTCGGATCTGCATCTTCTGAACCTTAATTAATAATCTAAATTAATCTTAAAACTTTTAAGAGCAATGGCGACATCTCTTGTTACAAATATTCATCGTTGAATGTTGTTAGGAAGGTGTTGTATGCTGTAAAGAACACACACTAGATGTGGCCAAGCATTCCTAAAAATGCAATAGAACGAACGTAGATAGATGTCAAGATTTTCGCGCCGTGAGGTCATTGGCCGCTTAGTTTTGTTGGTAAAGCGTCTGGGCGCAAAACCAGATGACTCAGGTTCGAATCCCGCACCTCCGAAAGTTTTTGTTGATTTTTCTACAAAAATTTACAATTTCAAGTTTATAAAATTTTGTACATCTTTGGTTTCATAACCGGTTGGTGTCAAGGAAAAATCGATGAAAGTATTAACTCAAAAACTCAGTTCTATTGTACTGCCAGGAACACAATTAAGTAAAAAGCGCCTACATCGGACTGGCGAAACGCATTTTTAATGTTCCTCCAGTTCTAAATGCATTCTGAATCTAAAACAGCATCCTAAATGAGGTGTACCTTACTTTTTTCTTTGTAGACGCATGTCCAGAAGAGTACGGTAGTGATGGAGGCATACGGTTGCACAGAGACATTGGGGCCTGTCCTTATTCCAAATTTAACAGGACCAAGGGGCAGTTGTGGTAAAGTTTCGGAAAATTATGAAATAAAGGTGACTAATTTTAAGTGACGTATTAAATAAATGTAAGATATTAAAATATGTAGAAAAAGTACGAAAAGGATTTTAATGTTCAATCTTAAGTGCAAAGATTAGCACTATAAACAATTTAAATTTCTAAATGTAAGATAGTTAATTCCTTAAGAGATGTTGTATGAAGAATTAAAAAATAGCAGAAAGTGAGCTGAGGCTTACTTTTTTATTCCGTGAATTAAATCAAGAGGTATTTCTTAAACTCTTTTCATTGATAAAAATCGCAAGAGCTCCAATTACAAACGAAATGTGGTTTAACTGCAGTAATTTGGCAAGTTTACCTTAAGTTTATCTTTTCAGTAACGTTTTTTTTACCAAATACTTTATAATCAATATAACAATATGTTCATTTTCGATATTAAAATATTATTTATTTACTTATTCTTTACTTTAAAATTACTTGCAATTACCTTAAACGAGAACTACAAAGGACAAACTTAATGCTTTTTGGCATTCTCGACTTCTATGAGTGCGTAGGCATTCATTAATAATATGTCGATTAGTAATAGTATGTGTATCATTAAAAAGCAATAATACGACTAATATTATTTTTTTTACTGTTTGTAGCTAGTAGATCCTGATACAGGATTAGAAATAACAGAGCCATATGTGCCAGGAGAATTGTTGGCGAAAGGACTATGTTTTACGGTACGTCCATAAACAAAAAATATTATATCTTAACCGTAATAATAAATCACGGTTTCTTGTTAAAATAATTGTAGAGATAATTAAGTAGCGATTGTTTTATTTCTCATTTTTCAAAGGAGTACCTGCATAATCCGGTAGAGACGGAGAATGCATTTTCCGAAGACGGCTTCTTTAAGACTGGCGATCTATTGTACAGAGATGAAAATGACAACTTGTTTTTCGTAGACCGAATCAAGATGCTGATCAAGTATCGTAATTCTCACGTAAGTATTTGCATTCCTTCAAAATATAAAAATCAGCAATCCATATCAATAGTTTCATATCTTCATATACTTGTAAGTATATATAATTCTTCTGTGTTCCATAAAATTACAAAACAGAACCCGAAAAATTACCATATTAATAATCTCTTTGTAAAAATGCCCAAGGAATATATAAAATTAACGTACTTTCATATTTCAAGGCAAAATGCAAGATATTCAATGAATGGACGACAATTTTCCATTGAGATCTTATTGCTGGTAAACTGCCCAAGGAATATATAAAATTAAGATAGTTTCATAATTATTAAAGACTGTAGGTTGGTCGGCTAAAATAAAATAGTGAGGATAGCGTAAACAACTTTATATATTAATTAGACTACTTCCTACTTATTAGGACAGAGTAACGTCCTATACAAAGGATAAGAGTGTTCTACCCGCTAAACATGCGCTTATATACAAAAATATAATGAGTCATCACAACTACATTACAAATCAATGCACTTATTAAATCATTCCGCTTCGTGCTCTCGTACGGAACGGACGTCTCTCTAAGACGGAGGGCACATGCCACCCGAATTAGACGCCACTCGCAACCTCGGTTGCAATTTAAATCTTGTGCAAATAGTGCAGTAGTTTAGTGTTAGTGTAGTGTTGTGCTCGTAGGCAGGTTCCTGTTTGTAAGTAGAATCCTACACACACCTCTCGCCTCAGAGGCGGCAGTGTTTCATTTATTAACTGTGTGTTTGTTGCAAGAGGCGACAGCTAGGTACCTAAAGCGCAGGCTAATTGTTTGTTATTTTTAGGCACACTCCTCCCTGTCGCAAGGTAGGGAGGCTTATTTAGCTCACACACGCCGGCGGGGCTACAAGCCCCAAAGGCACTTACGTCGCGATGGGCTCCCTTTTCGAGGAGTTCGTACGCAGAGAATGCTCCGCTATGTGGGAACGTTATCTTGCCTATGCAGCCGAGCATAGGCAAGTAGCTGAACTAGCGTCGCCGCCATTGCCCGCGCCGTCAGCGCCCGTTACCCCGTTGCCCTCCGCGACCTTAGAAGCCCCCGTCACTTCGGCATCCGCTAACGCGAACTCGCCCGTAGCGCCTTCCGTGCAATCAAACCCGACCTCTTTTCGCTCCGTCGTACCCTACTCACAATCGGACGGCGGATCGGACATGGAGGTCGAAAAACGCTGAAAACGCGAACGCCGACGGCTTCACCGTCGTTAAATCGCGTAAAAAGGGCAAGAAACGCCCTGCTACCGACAGCGACCTCGAATGCGAGGCCGCCTCAACGATCCGTCCCACCGCGACGCCCGCTAAAAAGGAGGCCGCGGCGGCTAAACCGATGCCCAAATTAGCCGCTGAGCGAAAAATAAAGCCTCCTCCACCCATCATCATTCAGGAGAAGGCTAAGTGGCACCAAATTTGTTCGTGGTTTGAACACCACAATATCCGCGACCCCCGGTCGAAAAACACGCATATGGGTATCCGCGTATACCTTGATACTACGGACGTCTTCCGCCGCGTAACTAAGTACGAAAACAAGATAGGTTTCCACACCTACTCGTTGCCCGAAGAAAGAAAACTTCGGTTTGTAATCAAGGGCGTCCCGAAAGAATCGGATGTTGATAGGGCTAAGGTCGATATCCGCACTCAGGGATACCCTGTGCACGCCGTGCGTCGCCTCAGACACCCTCGCACCCGTGTCCCTATGGACATGGTCATGGTCGAACTTGACCCTACCCCGGAAGGTAAGGCCATCTTCAACCTGAAGAGGGTCTGTGGGCTCAGTGACTTAGTCATCGAGCCCCCGCGCAAGTCAGGAGTTGTGGCTCAGTGCCACAACTGTCTACATTTTGGCCACATGGCCAACAATTGCTTCGCTCACCCTAGGTGCGTCAAATGCACCGGTGACCATGGCACGACCGAGTGCACGCGGCCGAAAGATTGCGCAGATCCACCGGACTGCGTAAACTGTCACGCCACCGGCCACCCGGCTAGTTATAAAGGCTGCGCTAAGGCCCCGAAAACTCCCGCGAAATCCACTCTACCCAAACCCGCGCCCGTAAAATACGTTCCCGCGCCCGTACCCGTCACAAACGCTTGGACGAAACCCCAGGTGGCCGCGCAGGTAGTCACGCCCCCGGTCGCCTCACGACCGATCGCACAATCGCAGCCCGCCTATCAAACGGCGCCGAGGCCACAGGTGCAGCCAACTCCGTCGGTTTTCGCGGAAAACAAGGACGACCCGTTCGCGCAAATCGCCAACATCTGCAGCCTATTAGACCGAATCAATAGGCAGGAACTCGCCGTATTGTCGGCTAAAATAGCGGCCGCCACATCTGGCAACGAACGCCTTAGAGCAATCAGCCAACACAAAACGCTTGTAGAAGCCCTATGGGCTTTTACGAACCAACCATAAAAAGACATAATAGTCCGCGCAATAAAACCGCGCTCCGCCGCGTCGTTAATTAGAACCATAAAAACACTTTAATGGGAAGTACAACCGCAGGTAGAACAAACCCTCGGGCTCTGGTTGTTTCGTATTTCAACGCAAACGGCATAAAGGGTCAAAGGGACGAAATCGCAGAATTCCTTCGCGATTATAACGTAGATATTTTTCTAGTGCAAGAGACATTCTTAAAACCTAGTGTACGCGATCCCAGAATCGCAAATTACAACATTGTCCGCCACGACCGGTTAGCAAACCGTCTGGGAGGCACATTAATTTACTATAAACGGTCCTTGCACTGTTGCCCGCTCGACATTCCAGAGCTAAGTCAAATAGAGGCATCCCCGTGTAGGTTAGCGCTCACCGGCCACAGGCCGCTTGTACTAGTCTCAGCCTACCTCTCGGGGAACAAAACCTTATTACAAAGCGACCTAGATACGCTACTCAACTTAGGCCCTTCCGTGATAATTGCAGGAGATCTAAACTGCAAACACGGCTCATGGGACATCCACAGCATCCCAAATAACAACGAAAAGCATCTCTTTAGCTTATCCGATAATTTAAACTTTAGCATAATCGCTCCTACGACTCCCACTAGGTATCCTACGGTGGACAACTACCAACATGCGACACCGAGTATCCTAGATATCATGTTATTCAAGGAGGTCTCGCTCGACATCGAGTCCATAGAGACAATCCATGAACTAGATTCAGATCACAGGCCCGTCCTGTGTAAACTGGGCCAGAACGCCGGCGCGGTCCCTCCGACCAAATCCGTAGTGGACTGGCATCGTCTTGAGGTCAAACTCAAGGCCTTGGACCCCCAGGACTTAGTCGACCTACCCGAGACGATAACTACGTTCGATGACGCAAATCGAGCGATAGCAAGTCTCCGAGAAACCATTACTTCCGCAGTCACAGACTCGGAACGGACGGCGAAACTGTCGGGCGACCGACGGTTTAACTTTCCGCCCGACCTACGACTCCTAATCAGACAGAAAAATGCAGCCAAACGCGCCTTCGACCAATACCGATCGGAAACGAACCGAACCCTACTTCGACGCCTTCAGCTAGAAGTCAAAGATCGTGTATCGGAACACCGACATACAACGCGGGACACTCTCCTAGAGGACATCGAGCCATCGCACACCGCCTACTGGCGGATGGCCCGCAGTCTGAAAGCAGACCCCCGCGAATCTCTACCGCCGTTAATTAGACCTAATAGCGCTTCAGTAGCCCTAGATGACTCCGAAAAAGCCGATCGCGCGAACACACCGATACAGTCCACCTAACGGAGGTGGACCGCGTAATCGAGACTAGGGCTGCGCTTCCACCGGAAGGCGATCCTTTAAGTTCAGTGACCCCCGAAGAGGTCCAAGATATTATTAAAAATTTAAAACCGAAATCCGCCCCGGGCCCAGATAATATCAGTAACAAAATTCTCAAAGCTCTCCCTGGACCGCTTATCTGTTTACTGGCGACCATTTTCAACACTCTACTCTCTAGTTGCTCCTTCCCGGACGACTGGAAACAAGCCACGGTTATCGGCATTCGCAAGCCGAATTCGCGGATGACACCGCGCTCTTTTATTCAGACCGCAACCTTAGAATACTAACTACTCGACTCCAAAGCGCCGCCGACCGCCTCGGCGATTGGTTCCGCAAATGGAGAATAGAAATAAATCCCGAAAAGAGTGTGGCGATTCACTTCACACGAAGTACTTACCCGTCACATCTTTATAATGGTCCTCGCCAATGAAGAAAGTTGGGGCAAATATCCCTTTATGGCCAACCGCTCCCCTGGGAGAAAAAGGTCAAATACTTAGGAGTCACTTTCGATTCGCGTATGTCATTTACTACGCACATTAATAACGTTCATAATAGAGCCGCGTTCGTCTCCGGCCGGCTACACAATTTAACTAACGCTAAAAGTAAAATGCCCTTAAGGCACAAATACTAGTATATAAGACCTGCGTACGACCTATTATGTCCTACGCATGCATGATCTTCGCCCACACGCACCCTACTCGCTTGTACAAGCTGCAAATAGTACAAAATAAGTTCATCCGCCGTGCAACCGGTGCGCAGTGGTATCAACGCAACGTCGATCTGCACAGCGATTGCAGACTCCCGACGATTCGCGAATATTTTAAAGACCTGACCAAACGGTTCTTCGATAGAGCCGAACATCATCCCAACCCTCTGGTGGTAAGCGCAGCAAATTACCAACCCGACACAAACGCGAACGTCAACAAGCGTCGCCCGCGAAACGTCCTCATCGACCCGGTCGAGGAAGGGGACTTAGATACGTCGGACCCACCGCCGGGGGTCCCGCCTGATAACACTACACCCACAGCTAGTGTAACAACAAACACAATAGTTCACCCTCGCCTCCGAGCACGGCGAGACCAACACAACGCGTACACAAGGTACACCCGCGTTCCAGGGCGGTTCTCACAGCCCCCAGCCACCGATTAGCTAAAAACACAGTCGACGGCCATCGGGGTCTCGGTCCGCACCGCAACTTCGATGGCCCTTAGATGACATGTCGTAGTTAAACGCACGCATGAGCACATGCGCGGCCCTACCCACAGCGGAGGGCCCAAACCCGTGGGTTCTGGCTAGCCCACCGGTTCTGCGTCAGATGAAGCTTTAATAGTCTCGGGAGTGAAAGCAAAAACATCAGTTAATACAAGACAAGACTTATTAAATTACTAATACAGTTAATAAGATTACCTATAAAATTATAAATTATTATTAAGCATTGTTTATTATATAATATTATGCCAGATATGGTTCAATGTTTATTAAGTATAATTGTTATTGCTCGTATATTAAGCAGTGTTGCCAGTGGATTGTAACATAATACAGGGCAAGATAGTATTTAAAGAATGGAAGACAATTTTCCATTGTTTTCGGATATTACAGATAGTTCCATCTGAGCTGGAGGAAGTTATAATGCAGCATCGTGGAGTGCAAGACGTTTGCGTAACGGCGTTATCCCACCCTGAGGACGGTCAGCATCCTGTGGCATGCGTCGTTCGAAAACCTGACGCCTCAGTAACCGCACAGGAGATAAGAGATTTGGTTGCTAGTGAGTTGATATATCACTACATACTCGTAGTATAAAACATGGTCGTCCCGCTGTCTGTCGGACCCTATGTATGCTTAGATCTTTAAAACTACGCAACTTTTTTAACTAGATAGAGTGATTCTAGAGGAAGGTTTATATGTATAATACATTGCACCCGTGCGAAGCCAGAGCTGGTCGCTAGTTTCTAATATTGTAATTCGAAAATTCCGCAACTAATATATAGAACTATCAGTCAGACTTGACGTTGCAAAAAAAGTAAAAACTTTTAAATTTTATAATGACCAAAATATAACTCGTAAGTATCACAATAGGGTTGTCACTTGAAAGCATGAATATTGTCTTTTTCCTGAAATTAAAAAAGGAAGCTATTCTTTTACATGCGCTTTGTTTAGTTATTGATTCAACATTGTCCTGTTACGATTTAATCATTTTTAGGAAAACTATCGAAAACCAAGGAATTGCGAGGGGGCGTGGTGTTTCTCGACACATTGCCTATGACGTCCACGGGAAAAGTAGCGAGAGGAAAACTTAAGGAGTTGGTGCTCAAGGCGCATAGAGAATAGGCCAATGGATGTCAACTTTATTGTTAAGAAGTCATAGACACAAAGATGGACTGAGCAGTTTCCTCTAAAAGTTTACCTCTCTGTAGATAGAAAACAATGTGCACGTGTGAGCACCCTGTGCGGTTAATATCTTTTTTCTATAATCCTGTATGAAATGTATTCAGAATGTAGTGAAAATTATTCAGTTTCTTTAAGCCTGTGAAAAGAACATTCTAGAAAAACACAACTACACTGTATGAATCAAGGAGCCATAACCGTTCGTACATCTTTTGAAAATAATAGAGTTGCTTCTCTTTCGTACAATAGCAGCTTTTTACTATAGGTTTTTCGGGTCAAATTTCTTCAAATTTTTTCATATCAAAATAACAATTATAAAAATTTTGACCTTTGCTGTTGTTGTAGCCACAGATTTTAAAAATAAAATTAGCACATAAACATCAGCAGTACATTCCGCCCAGCGGTCCAGCGTGAAGTTTTAATGGACATGAATAATTCATGGTAAACGATTTTTTGATTTCACTCGTTGATGTCTTTTTACAGGCTCTGTCTCAATAGATCTTTAAACAGCTGTCTCTATCTCGCGAAGGCAACATTATATAAAAAAGCTTATAAATTACTCTTCAACTATTATAGTAATTGTTATTTTAAAATGAAAAATAGTTAAAATGACCTGAAAAACCTATAAATAACATGTATCCAGAGATATAAATTAAACTTACTAATAATATATATATTACAGACTATATCTATAGTAGATCATATATATCAAACCACGGGATAGTTGTTTAAGATGTGTTGCCGTCCTTACAAATATATTTATAGTGTCAATAGATCTACATGGTCAGTAAGATAATTTTTTAGTGACATAAGTTTACGGTTTAAGTACTCTTACAGGGATTCAAGAACGGCTTATGTCGGACTCGCACCAACTAAAACCCCCACCGAGTTACACCTAGAGCTCATATCGGAAGGGCCACGTGAACGCTATCGCACACTTACCAAGTTACACCTAGAGCTCACGTCGGAAGGGCCAAAGAAACGCTATCACACACCTACGCGACTGAAAGCAATGGCCACCTTAACAACCCTTTTTCTAAAAACTCCCATCTGTTATGGATCATTCAGCGCGCCTTCCTACTCGGCCCCCTTTTTAACATATACAGCACCTGAGGTGTTAGCAGATGCGTTGACCTGTTCCTCACTCACCAGACGAAACGCGAAAATATAATATCTTCTTCACTCCGGTTATCTGTAAGGTTATACAACACAATATATATATTGTACAAGTAACAATACTACGGTACTTCCCCTGACGAGCCTGCCCATTTGTGGAACAACAGAAGGTAGTGTGTGGCCCACCACAGTGTATAAGTAAAATGGAACGTTGAAAAAAAATTCCTTCGCATTTTACGTACTCGGAAATATTAATCTAATTGGTGGAAAGATCAAATGCATTTCTAAGAAAGATTTTTAAGAAGGTGAAAATTCGGCCAGAACGCTGGCCCAATTTTGGAGATCAAGGGCGGACAATATTAAACTCGTAACGGCTAAAACTCCTCGATATTCCTCCACCTACGCTGCATATTGGCAGCGCCACGAGAACGCTTTCGCAAACTTCAGGGAGCAACTCCTTATAGTGATACGGGCAACCGACTCCTCGTTGCGCGCTGCTCAGGGGATATGTGAGCCAGGAGAGCTACTGATAACAGAAAGCAAGTCTGCTGGCCTCAAACAGGGGAGCCGATCTGTGGTAGGAAGAACTGCGCATCGCGTTATCGATACTCCTGTCTACCCGCGACACCACTACAGCTGCATCAACGATTCAACCCCGCTGAGTCACGTAGGATAGGGAGAGCGGCCTAACGTAATACCAGCACTGTTCTTCCCTTGCGACTCCACCTTGGTTGTAGAAGTCGGGGAGAGTAACTCCACATCTACCACACTCTACCTGTCTCCGCACCCTACTTCCACGCATTTACAGTGGGCTCAATGCGACCAGCTGGAGTGGCCACCCCTCTTCTGAATTTTCGTAGTTTTTGTTAAATAAAACGCTTTTATAGGACCACTCAGTCTGTTCTACGTATAAATGAGATTAACGAATCGTAGTCCTTACTGAAAAAGATATTTCATAAATTACTTAAGTTGTTATTATATGATAAAACTCACTTAACAAAAAACTTCATTATAAGACACTAAAACAACACGCTAAATAAAACAAAAAGGACATAATTAATAAATGCAATTACCGTACAGTAAGTAAATAAAAATAATATTTGTGAAACACGTTTATTTTATATAATCTTTATTTCCTTTGTACATGCAAATATTACTCATTTCGCACGTCGTCCTCGATAAAATTCTGCAACAATAATAAATAGGCTTAATTAGGTTAGGCAATGAATCAAAATTGGCTGTTATTATTTTGTGAATAAAGTCTGAAGAACTGCGCATCGCGTTATCGATACTCCTGTCTACCCGCGACACCACTACAGCTGCATCAACGATTCAACCCCGCTGAGTCACGTAGGATAGGGAGAGCGGCCTAACGTAATACCACACACACACACGGGTCTTCTACTCGGCCTTGAAAGGCCGGCAGGTGCGGGTGTCGAGATATTTCTCATGACCCGGGCTTCTTCTCTGGGGCCTCTCTGTGCCCCCGGTATTTTGGGCCAAAAAGCCAGATGGTATGTGTTGTTATGTCGCCATAAAAATGGCGCAACACTGTTTAGAGGTAATTACTGTTTTGCTATGCGCCGTGATGCTCGGTGAGTAGCATGGACAGCGTGTGTAGGGTTGCGCTTATCGGTGATTGCCCCGATGCCATTGCGGCTATAATGGTTGTAAGTGCATCCGCCAGTATGCGGATTAATTGTTGGAGTGATTCTGTGAATTCTTCCACAGTTCTAGGGGCTTCATTGTTTTGGCGGCTTTCTTGAGGGCGAAGGGGGCGACGACTGGGCGCTGTCTCCGACCTTTGTTCGATATTTGTTTGACGGCTTCTTTGTTGGGGGGGGGGGGGGGGGGCGGTGAGGTAACGCCGTCTCCGTCTCCGTATTGGTGGCTTGTTCCCGTTCTTGTTCGCGGGTGGTGTATGTTGACGGTCTTTCGTCTTGCGATGCGGCCGCGGGTGCATCACGTCCGCGGCGTCTTCGCCGATGGCTTCTGACTCTACTAGTAGCAGGGTTGGCTGTTGGCTGGTGGCTGGAGAGTAGTGACTGTTGTAGTCGGTCTTGGTAGGGTGGCTGCAGTGGAGGCGGCGCCGGCGACGACTGTAGAATGCGGGCGCGCGCCCTCGGTAGGCTGTCTATATATGTCCCCCGCAGTGGTTCGCACCGCGGTAGGGGTTTGTAGTGCGGTTGCTACTGTGCTCTCGCCTTCGTTAGGCTGAGGGGGGAAGTCTGAGGTGGGGGGAGCTGTCCCCCCGCTTCGGCTCTCTCTGTTTCTTCCGACGGTCGTCCATCCCGTTCTCTCGTTACTTGTAGTCGGCCGCGGCGGATGGATTGCTATCCCGCGTTTTCTTGCCTCTCTTAGAAACGCGGGACAGCGCCTATCGTTGGCCGGATGCCTTTGCCCGCAGTTAGCACAACGTGCGGGGGTGGATAGCGGCACTGGACAATTGGCTGCGATGTGGTTGTCTGCGCAGCGAACACAGACAACCGGTCGGTGGCAATTTGCCGATGAGTGCCCGAATTTTTGGCACCTATGGCACTGAGGTGGGCCTGTTCTTCCCTTCCACCCCTCAATTTGGATGCCCGGCATGTTGAGGAGCTCGTTAATATCATACAGTCGAGCTGCCTCTCTATCGTTGAGGCGGTCGAGCTGCACGAAAAATATGCATCGGCTTCGGTTTCGTACTGGAGGTATCAATTTAGTGTAGGTCGCCGGAAACCCTAGGTAGCGTAACGCATTAGTTATGCTCTCCGGGTGAGTCGTTTCAGGCAATCCGCGAATGCCCACTTTTGTGGGGAGGTGTCTGGCCGGAGCATAACAGTACCAAGTTATGCTGCTATCATCGTTGGTGGCTGCGATTAAGTGTCGCTGGACAACTCGGTATTCGTGCCCCGATTGGGGTAGAAAGCGGATGCCTTTCCCGAAGGCACGCGCGTTCGGCGCGTGTCCGAGCTTGTTTTTAAGCGCCAAAAAATGGTGAGCCCAATCGGGCAGTTTTTCGACGATAATAGGTGGATATCCCTTTTTTGTGGTATCTTCCTCGGGAGCTGCAGGTGCTTGCTCCTCCGTCTGAGCAGATGTCGACGGTGTTGGTTGCACAGGCGATTTTGTAATGGTTGCATAAGATGTATTTTCTCGTACTGTTTCCATGCGCTCGGATGGCGCTTGTACTGAGTCGTACGAGGGCGATCTTGGCGGTTGCGAGTATCGCGTAGTGTTGGTGCTCCTGTGTTCGCTTTCATATTGGTCGTCTTGCGGTGCGGTGTCCATCTCTTCGACGCATTGACGTTTTTCCAATAACGATGCGTCGGTTTCGGGCGGCGTATGTCGCCTGCGGGTCTTCCTGGGGTGGTACGTCTTGGCCGGGGTGGATACGTACTTAGACGCACCACCGTCGGCCTTGACTTCCGCCACCTCTGAGACGCTTGCGGCGCTCCTACGGTATTCTTCTTCGCTGGTCGATAGATAATCTTCGGCTACTTGGTAGCGCTGTGGCTGTGGGCGCAACAGCTGTCTTGGGAGCTCAGCTTCCTCGACGTCCTGTTGGTCCATGGCAACAGGTGTGCGCGTTCTCCTGCGAGGTTTGGGGGGGCGATATGCCCTCCATCGTTCGCGGCTCCGTCACGGCCCGTGTTGCGGGCGGAATCGATCCCCAGGCGAGCGATGTACCTTGCTCCCCTCAGCGCGGGCCACTTAGCCGGGGTGAGACCCCTAGGGGAGGCCCAGCGAAGCGCCCAGCGAGCGGGGAGAGGTATCAAGGCCGCAGTGTAAGGCGGGATTCGTCGCGCTTCCAAGCGCGCGCACTGCCTGCCCCTTTCCAAGGAAAGGGGGGACACAGTGCGAGGTCGCACACGTAGTCTCGCTGTCGCGGGGGGCACGTGGTCTCGGCGAGGCGTGTACGGCGCACACGTTCCGGACAAGGTGGCCTAGGCTGCTCGACGCTTCACGGAGTTAATACCTCGACGTTAGGCGGAGTGGCTTCGGCGGACTTCGGCTGGATGGCTTCAATCGCTCACGATGTCGCAGAACGGGCGCTACGTAATACCAGCACTGTTCTTCCCTTGCGACTCCACCTTGGTTGTAGAAGTCGGGGAGAGTAACTCCACATCTACCACACTCTACCTGTCTCCGCACCCTACTTCCACGCATTTACAGTGGGCTCAATGCGACCAGCTGGAGTGGCCACCCCTCTTCTGAATTTTCGTAGTTTTTGTTAAATAAAACGCTTTTATAGGACCACTCAGTCTGTTCTACGTATAAATGAGATTAACGAATCGTAGTCCTTACTGAAAAAGATATTTCATAAATTACTTAAGTTGTTATTATATGATAAAACTCACTTAACAAAAAACTTCATTATAAGACACTAAAACAACACGCTAAATAAAACAAAAAGGACATAATTAATAAATGCAATTACCGTACAGTAAGTAAATAAAAATAATATTTTGTGAAACACGTTTATTTTATATAATCTTTATTTCCTTTGTACATGCAAATATTACTCATTTCGCACGTCGTCCTCGATAAAATTCTGCAACAATAATAAATAGGCTTAATTAGGTTAGGCAATGAATCAAAATTGGCTGTTATTATTTTGTGAATAAAGTATGAGTATTTGTTTCGGATTCGGTATTATACATATTATTAGACGTAATTATTATTAATAATTACATTATTATTACACGGAATAAATCTATGGTTTGCATAGGAAATCAGTGCTACCATGGATAAATTGTTAAATATTCAACAAACTTCGTGATACCCAAAAAAATTACACAAGATACAGAAGATCGCGATGTGTGAAACTCACAGTTGCCAGTACCCTGGATAAAAAGAAACTAATAACAAAAGCAACATTGAAGTCGCAATTTAATATTTTATAGAACTTTACACCTACGTTTTTTTAGCTTACACCTAAATTTTTATTTTCCTCCTTGACCTCCTTGACCGCCTGCCTGACCGCTACCTTGTCCGCCAGCTTGACCACCGGCGCCGGCACTCATTCCAATATCGAAACCACCTTTGAAAATAAAATTTCTTTTTTCAAGAAAATATTAAATTTACAAACAAATTTACGGCGACAATGACGGTTGTCTTCTCCAAAAATTCAGTTCCTCCCACACTTATCCATGCGGTATATTTATAAATATAGGGATTTCAAATTCAAACAAAAAATATTCCACAACTATTAGAGATCCACAGTAAGATGTATGTAGACTGACTTAAAGATTATAGACACGCGTAGAGATTTATGTAATTTATATGTAATGCAAAGGTCTTTGCATTACATGGTTACCAGAGGCATACTTCCTGAAATGTTGGCGGCATATCTGCATCACCGCAGCTATTGCGGGGCCATTGCTGATCGTTACCAAAAGGTTGCTCGTTTGCCAAGATTTCAAATTGAAATATTCAAAAGCTTACCACCGAAACCTCCGCCGCCACCCATGCCTCCACCTGCATTATGGTATATAAAATTAGATCTATTTTCTTTTCTTTTTTTTTATATAAATTTCATTATTTATTATCTCAATAATATACGTTATCATTACAAACCATGTTTATTGTTCATTTAAAATTACATACCCCCTTGACCATCTGCGGCCTGCCGATTAGACTGCAACAATTGCATAATTTATATGTTTGACATAAAATTCTTAAACTTACGAATACACAATATTTAATTTTACCCATTTTGTCGACAACATCCGACAACATCATAATTTAATTTCTTTCAAATAACTAAAAAGTGAAGATAGTATACAGCGTGTCGTTACAACCGCGACAATAAATGAACACACATATAGAGGATTACTTTTTAAAATTGTATTAAACATTTACATTCTTTAAACATCAACATTTACTGAGTTATAAAATTTTCTAAAACAAACAATTTTAGAACACCCTTACGTATAAAATTGTAACGTAAAATTCATTTGTAAAGGTCACAAAGCATATGAAAGGGTTGAATGAATTTGAAAGAGATAAAACATACTGTTAGAAGGAGAGATTTGTAGTGCGACGCTGCGGCAACGAAAGAAAAAGTGTCTGAATGTATGAATCAGTTAGTTGTAGTTTTATAGGATGTTACAAATTTCATTTCTTTTTTATTTAATTAGTTTGTTTGAAAAATATGTTTTTTTAATTATGGATTTTTTTAACGTTTTATATATTTTTAACATTATTGGCAAGTAGCGTTAGGCGTTTTTTAATTTATTGTCGCGGTTGAAACGACACGCTGTATATTCCAGATGTTCAAGCTAATCCGGTAATCAATAATATTCATAAAAATATATCCCTGCTAAATAAAAAAGATAATTTTCTATTTTTACATACCTTAAGTTTTAAGTACATAGCAATACTTATTAACGATAAATTGTTAATAACGAAATACATTAGGTATTTGTTCTTTATCTCCATAAATATACTGATGTGGGTAAATTAGTCATTTTGGTCTATATAGAAAACGCTAATAAGTCAAGATACAAAAGTGTGACCGTTATGTTTAAGGTTTTGACATAGGAAGCATTTTTTTACTTACGAATGAATTATAAAAACTTACCACGCCAATAAGCATTACAACCATGGCCAAAAAGAATACTTTCTTGAACATTTTCTTCTGAAATTTGTATTCGCAATTAATAATTTTATCTATAAAGCTATTAACAATGGCATGCAATCCGTATCATATATTTTTACTTAATTTTTTTTGCGAGTAATGATGGCAGAGTGAAAATTATGTTTAATAGCTGAACACAAATAAAATCAACCTGTGATTACAAATATGTGCCGATTCTATATATACGTTTTACCGTTTTTTTTTTTTTAACTTTAATACTTGTTTTTAAATAAAACTTTTTCCCGTCTGTTTCATTGTTCGGGATAATAAAATGATACTTTATATAGCTACGAGATAATTCATAACTCCGAGGGCGGCGGTAATCACTTAACATCAAGTGAACCGCCTGCTCGTTTGCCGACTTCTAATTTAAAAAAAAAAATACTTTTTTTTCGGTCGTCCCGTTGAAAATAGCTACCAAAGTCCAAAAGGATAGATGATTGAAATTATTATATAATTATTATTCTTAAAAAGTATTTTATGTTACGGAATAATGTCGTCGTGGCATAACATAATAGACGACAAGGTGACAAGGCACGCCTACATAGGTTCGACTGATGTTAAGAGATGACCGCCATGAGCTGGCCATGAACATTTGCAACACCCGTAGGGTTGCAGATGCGTTGCCACACTTTAATAAAGTAGACCCTGACTACCTCACTCACTAGACGAAACACTGAAGTATGACACTTTTACTACACGCCGGTCTTTGTCTTTATTAGGCTGTGGTACTTAGGTAAGTACCAGGTGGACGGACCTGCTCATTCGTGCAACAGCCGACGCTGTTTCCTTACCATGTTTTAAAACATTTTGAATTTCCCCTTTAACTTTTTGCCTTAAATGGTAATGGTTCCCTATTCATTACGAAATATAGATATTTAGGTACAAATTAAGTAGTAAGTTTTAAATAAAATAATGTCTATGTAATAAAAAATCTTTATAAGTACTTACTAGTTTTATTAGATGAAGAAAAATACGACTACCTCGGCTATAGGAATTGAAATTAAAGTTTCCATGAAAATTCACATTTATATAGTAACAGCTTCGTCTGCGATTTTATCTGCATATAATGATAATATCCAAATAATCACCGGGTGCCAATCTTTTCGCTGCAATTACAGATAACAACTGCATCCTGTTTATTTTTAAAGATGCTTGTCACTTACACTCATGTTTTTCAAACAATGTATTTATGATAATACGCTTAAGTAATTAAACTCATACAAAGAGCTGTTTGCGGACTCTAGACATTCTGATATAAGTATGTTGCTTAGTTTTAATTACGCTGGCAAGGCTACGAGGGTAACGTGAGATAAGTTGAAAGCGGGGGAAAAATTTTAAAAATAGTTTTTAAAGACATATACATTGAAATCAATCAGTCACGTTAGCGTTAAAGCCTATATCAAGAGAATACTGTTAAACTATGTTAATATATAGTTTATATAGTTTATAGTATATTATATAGTTTATAGTACATAGATATAGTTTATTTTAGATTTCATATTTTTTAATGAACTCGATGGCGCTGTTGCTAAGTTATTGGCTTTGGCGTCGGGGGTCGTGGGTTGGTTTCCCACATGGGCTGAGTATTTGTGTGACCTACGATTATTTGTGCCAGATCTGGGTGTTTGTTTCCCAAGGAGGGTTGATGTCAGACAGGTGGCCAGTCGTAAATAACAAAGCTAAAATCGCTTATAACATGATTCACATGTTGTGCCAACCCCACCTAGGTGGGATAAGGGCAGGAGAATGATGGTGATTTTTTAATGGAAACGATTTACGTGTAGAAGTGCCAACGTGTATGGGTTCAGAGCTAACGTTTCATCTGTTGCTTACTGATGGCAAAAATGTCGATTACTCTAGTAGAGTAGTAGCGTATGATCTGTTTTAAAACAACTCCAGTGCCTTGGGTACATTGTACTGTGTAGCACATATTAACTTAAACCTGGCCATCATGAAAGCCTGCCTACTGACTATCTCAATATGATAGGAGTAGTAACTAGTGTAACCAGTTATGTGCGTGAGTCAGCTGAAAGGTAGAACTTTACAAGCGTACTATCCCATAAAAACACCTAGACGACCTCTTCTAGAACTTAACAAGATTATAAATTTTTACTAAAAATATTTTAATTAAAGTAGAAATAAATTTATTTTAAAAATAATATTAATATACATATTACAAAATTAAAATGTCTAAATTGACTGTCAAAATGCTTTTGTTAATTGTGAAACGTAACATAATATTGACAAACTGAGAACTGTCAAAATTATTAAGTCAAATGGGATGTCGATAGTTCGATTTTGTTCTTAATTTTCAAATAGGAAAATGTATTGTTATGAAACAAGATAATAAAAATCCATAATGGACGAACACGATTTCTTTAGACAGACAGTACAACATCTCGCTCGTTGTTTATCCTGCTTGAACCCAACACCATGGGAAAAGGTCGGTATTACAACATTACCAGTCGAATTATTGCTTAATTGAATGACGAAATTATGACTTTTCTTAGAATTTTAATTGCTAATGGAACCTTTATGATAAATAGAGCAGTTGCACACTTCCAAGTGAATACGGATCTTTTTCCGTACGTCCAGTATATGCAAGTTGTTTTGTTTAGTTATGATCTCATCATATGACATAAGTCTCTCGCCGTATATTACTAAACGATTAAAGCAGTTATTTTAAAACATGTTCTAAAAGTGTTCCCATATTTTACCACTTATGTTGGGATACCATTTCAATTAAAATGTAAATATTTCATTTCAATATAATGATTATTGATTTAAACAATTTAAAACCACAGGAAACAAAAGAAAAATTACACAGAACAGAAATAGGATTATATAGGATATATTATATAGGAAACAAAATTTGCAAGTCTAGTAATAGACTTGAAAATTTTGTATTATGTATATCAAGTACAATTATAGATTAAGTTCTTAGTCTGATACAAGTAAATATATTTCCTAAATATTTATTTGTATCAAGTCCTTAGCCCATACTAAGTTACCACTTACTATATAAGCTGTGGGTTAAAACTGCTATTACTAACCATTTATTGAAAAAAAAAAAATGGTAATTTGATATACTTGATAGTTTGTTGCATATACCCCTATGTCATTTGACAATGGAAGTTTAATTGGTTCTGTTGTTTAAATTTAATACTATGACAGTAAATTATCGGGAAATTTTCAGGTCAACACATTATTTATGTTATGTCCTCAAGCTACTTCTTCTCTGCTTATCACCTCACGCAGTCAAGATGCGAGTATTGCATTAGGCTTGTATTTCCTTCAAAGTGGTCTGCAACATCAGGACAAACTTCTACCATACTTTCTAAAAGTCCTGAAATGCCTCACCAATGCACAGTTTGAAGAACCCTTATGTATAGTAAAGTGTGCTGACCGTAAGTTTATAAATTACATATTTATTAAATATTAATAAAATACATAAGTAATTCTGATCAAAATTTAATGATGACAACTTATTTTGTTTTCTAGGTATTCCAATGGCAGAAAAATTCAGTTTCTGCCTCAACACCTTGCTCTCCGATGTTGCCTCAAAACAGCCCACTTTACGTGAAGAGATTATAACAGCTCAAATAGAGCTGATGTCCAACCTCACAAAGATTATCATCAGCTGTCACGAAAGCAAAGATTACTCAAATACTGTTTCCAAGCTGCAATTATGCAAAAGCACCATACCAACGCTAATTGGTTTGGCACGATCAATGGGTCGATATGCGACTGTTGATCCTCCATTGCTGTGCCGGCTATTTCCACAACCACCCAGTCCAGTTAAAACGAAGGAACCAGAGCCGAATTTCGAATACTCCACATTGGAGAAGAAGAGGAAGTTTAATCAGTTCCGACCGATAATTCCTAGATCACTCTCGGGCAATCTAAATCCGATAAACGAGAATATTATGGAAAATGGCACTGACGCGATGGACAGTTCCGGAGGGACACTCAAAAGGGGATCCCTTCACAGCTACAGTTCCGTACCATATGATCCTACAACATACTTCTTTCATAAGTTTGGTTCAAGTTTCAATCAATTTCCTTATATGCGCTTCTCTGAGTCTCCAGAGAAGCGAATTAATGTTCAGTTCTATGTGACATATCTACAGTCAATTTTGTCCCTTGCAAAGAAACTCCTGACCAAAGATCTTCTGGCATTCCTGGATGAAGAAGCTGAGGATATTCATGCATCAGGCCAAATTCAGGTGTGTTAATTCTCTAGGTCAAAGTTATGTCTTGGTTTAGTATGGAATGTAATCCTGCAAGTAAATGTTAACATTGAAAATGTTTCAAATGTTTGGGAACAAAATAATTGATGCAATTGTGTTTTCATAATGAGACTACTATGGAGATTGATACACCATCATTTTAAAATATTTGTGTATTTAACTTAGAAAATTAAATTAAACTTAATTTAATATAATTTATATTCTATTCCAATAATTTTAATTGTACTGTAGTTTGAATTGCCACATAAAATAAACTGAGCATTTTATTATAAATAGCTAGAATTCTTTTTTCCTTCAGGTCTTTCCGTACAAATCATTTTCTGAAACACTTAATTTAGTTATGGTGACTTTGCTGCGAGAAATTTTGCAACATCAGAAAGATTTACCAGGTCCATTCACAAAAGATGTTCAGGTAAGTGGTTATGAACATTGGAAGTACTGGCTATAAATAAAAATTAGCATACTTACTGCATATTATTGTCAGTGTACCTCTCTGATTTTCTTAGGCATACTATCTGTTATACTTATATACTATCTGTAAGCATAATAGAGTCAACCTCATAGAATATTTTCCAAAAGTATATCAATAAAATATCTCTAAAGATTCTCTTCATGGGCTGTCTTCTGGCAACAAAATGGCAAGCCATATAACAAACTGTCTCCAAGAAGATTGTGTCGGTTGTTGGTTTCGCAAATAGGTTATTCTAATACTCCATTTGTGTAATCAACGCAATTTACGATCCAGGGAATCTCTACACACTTACTCGCCCTCTACTCTATTCAGACAAAACAAAAGAGAATGAACCGGCTAACTGATATCTTATAATCATGAAACCAAATCTTGGGGTCACATATGAAGCAGAAAGGCTCATCCGCATCCATATTGAAATCCATAGAAATATAGCCTTTTTATAGAGCAATATAAGCTCTTCTGTACTGGTTCTGCATTGTTCCATATATGTTTACGACATATCTCTAGTACACCCTAAAAAACTTCAGGTCCTGATTACTGATACAGTTTATTAGATAACCGTGTACACGCTTAGTGACTGCAAACTCCCATTACTTCGCCTTTGCAAAGATCTTCTTTTCTGCTTGCATTGCTTGATTTCTCTGATGATAAACGCAATAACGACTTTATCGAAATACAGTGTATATTCAATTTCAAAATATAGTCGAAGGTAGTCGGGGTCACGGTACGCATACCGGGCTTCTAATACCTATGTAGCCAGCAACCTGATTCGGTTGTTATTTACGTCATGTACACAACACGCGTACAACGTACTGTATGCGTACTGAAATGCATGCATGTGTTAAGTTTAGTCCATTAAACACTCGGGAACGAGGCTTTTCCACGGGCTTGAGTCCAGTATGTCGAGTTTCAATCAATCAGATAGTTTTTTCATTCCTATGTTTTGAAATTTTATATAGCAACTAGCAGACCCTACAGACGTTGTCCTGAAAACACGACTTAAATCCGAGGACAAATTATGCACAAAAAAAATTGTTGTGGACCGAATTGTGAATCTATCTGAATACCTACAAAAAATTTCATTAAAATTGGTCAAGCCCTTTAGGAGAAGTTCAGTAACATACACACATACAGAAGAATTATATGTATATATAAAGATTAGGAAACTTCTATTTGTTTTTCTATAAAGTTTTTGATGTTGGTCAAGGAAAAATCAAAAAAATAATACAAATTTGCAGGAATTCGTCAAATGTTTGTTCCTCAGTGGTCAAACGGAGCTACAGAGTCGTCACCACGACGCCTCCGAGAAGGAAGACCGTGAGAGTAATTTTGCTACTGTAAACAAGTTCAAAGTAAATGTTATGGCCAATTCGGCCTGTGTTGATTTGTTGGTGTGGGCCATTGGAGATGAAACAGGTAATTTAATCTCATACTTGTGATTCTCATTAATTAGAATAAACTTGCATTCATTTATAATTAAATATTCATGAAGTACTTTTTTATTTAACTTTATATGTGTAAGGAATGGGATAACAAAATAACCAGAATCTGAATATGCGGTCTTGTTAGCCCTTTCCAATACTCAGTATTTTCTATAAATATGGGTAAAATATGTTCTCCTTAGAACATGTTTTGAGTCTCAATATATTTCTACTTTTTAGTGTGTTAGTAATAATAATAATTTAATAATTTGCACATCTTGCAATCTTTAAAAAAATTAACTATGGCTATTTTAAAAATTATTAACGAAATTAAGATATCTTTCAAAAAGTTTAATAAGTAATTAATTAATAATTTTCGAGCATACAAAATTGAAAATGTAATTGAAATTTGGCCCAAATTGTTTTCGAAAATATTAGAGTGTAGACATAATTTAATTTTGTTCAAATCTAAAATCTAGGTATTCATACTTTGCTATTTCTCTGATTTATTTATTTTCCTTTATTATTTCTTCATCTCTTTTTTGTAATATTTTGCACTCTTTACTCATGTTTCACTGTCTTCAATCATATCATTTTCTCTATATTATACTTTGGATGCCGCACTCTTCAGTGTGTGAGTATTATTTTTTATGCTATTCGACAATTTGTTAGTATTGATTTAAATATACAAGGAAATGTAATTAGAATGTGAATTGTGGAGTAATGTGAAATTCTATATTGCTTATATTTGTCTGTAGTTAAGTGTCATGAGTAATATTTAAAAATTTTAACATTTCTACAAAAGTGTAGTCACAACTGAATCTTTAAATGGTTATTTATTTATTTATTCATATATCTGTTATGGTAATAACAACAAATTTACAGATTTTGTCTCATTTTTAATAGTATAATATTACTATATGATATAATACAATTATATACATGTATTTTTACTCACTTTTAGATCATACTAAAATGTATTTTCAAAAAAATTTGATAGCCTGAGCTAACTTTGACATTAGCACTTTTAAGTGTCAGTCTATCCCATGACCATAAACTCTGTAAAGTGTTTGAAATGACCTGAATGTAAGAGCCAAATACAGGGTGGCTTTTCTAAGTGTATCCATTTTTTTTATTCAATTCTAGACATAAATAATGTTATATAAAAAATGATAAACATTTAAAATCACACTTAAGTCATTAATTACATCCATTTGAACTTATCTCAAAAAGTGCGTGATTTATACGCAACTCATTCATAACTACCACGCACACAAATTCGTGCACAGTGAAATTTAGGTATTTATGAATGACTACCGCATTGTCAACACGTTCTGTTTTTTAGGATGGCATTTTTTTTGAAAATGAAAAAAAACTTCGTTTTTTATTTCAATAAACGATTATGCTACCGAGTCTGAACCTCCTGTGTAAATTTGGGCGCTTCCCATAAATTCCCTGTACAATGTTGTAAAATTTGTAAAATAGTTTTATTTAAATGTTTCTATATTTAATTAAATATAGTAGTTTATTACATTCACAACAGCACAAAATGCTTATTTTATGTGTATATGTATGCTATTATCGCCAATATATATCATGTTTTAGGTTGAGTGTTAGAATTTAAATGTATTTAGGGTGACTTAGTGATATTTAAGCATTATAATAAAATTTTAAAGTAACAAATGCCCGCAGAGCTAGTATTTCAATGCATATAAGTAATAGTATTTTATAATGTTACAGTGGATGAGGACTATCACGTACCAGCTCTTATAAACGCTCTAACAATATTAATAGGTATCTGTAGTTTGTAGGATTGAGTTGCCCTTCTGACTAACATTCATGCAAATTTGACTTCCAACTAATATTGAATCTTATTCACGCTATACAAAGCTTTCAAAGTCAAATGTACCGCAAAACACCATAAATATTGTTCAATTGCGCCTGTTTTATTAATAAAAAATTATTAAAGCACATGGAATTGTGCTCATGGAAATCAGTACCTATTAAGCCTGGTTAAAATTATTCATAATGAAAATTATTTATGGGTATTATTTTGCATGTGTTTGTCCAACGGAACTTCTGAGTCGAAAATAAGAAAGGCAAATACAATTCATATTCTCGTGCAGTTGAATTGTGATATTTTTTATTACTAAATCTTCTTTCAGTTGACAGTTTCATTAACTTTTATTGAATTTAGTGCCAGGAATTGGTTTTGAATTATCCTATACCTATATATAATTATTATCTTTTGAAAGTATACAACATTTCCATTAACAGCAGTCCTAATTGGATAGACTTGACCCATAAACTCCTTTTTTGAAAGGCTTTCCATTCGCAAAATTAAAAATCCGTATAAATAGATTACGTACACTGTGATCAAGAAGGGAAAATTATAATAAACTGATTGCTTTTAGGTGCTGACTCTTTATGCGGACGTTTGACAGAGAAGATCAATTCGAATCATAACCACAAGTTGATCTTAGCACATATGCCCCTACTTATGGTGTGTCTAGAGGTAGGTGGTGGTGAAATGATTATATTGTCAACTAGCTGTGCCCGCGACTTCTTCCGCGTGGAATTTAAAATAGTAGCCTAAGTTACTCCTTATTACATCAGCTATCTGCCAGTGAAAGTCCTGTCCAAATCGGTCTAGCCGTTTCAGAGATTAGCCCGAACAATCAGACAGACAGACGGACAAAAATTACAAAATAGGTATTTTAGTATATGTACCGTGTATATATCCATATGCATAAAAATATGCACAATAAAAAGCGGTTATTTTAATGTTACAAACAGACACTCCAATTTTATTTATCTGCATAGATATATTATCTAAAAAATAATGTTGTACCTATTTCAGAATTCTCAGACTATATAATTTACCAGTGGCAATCGGAAGTTACACAATATTAAAATGCTTTACGTTTTATTATACTATTTTTAACCTGTTTTGTGTAACATGCTTTGGTTTTATATTGATAGGAGACTACCAATATAAAACCAATGCTTATATGAGCACAATTATGGCAGTTTTAAATGGCTGTAATGAGTTCATAATATACATAGTTTAAATTAATATGCTTTCAAAGGTCTAGCAAATGAATGTATTATAACGGTTACTATGTTTTGTGTTAAAACTATGTATATCTATTATAAACTATGTATAAATATATTCATATACAGTTATATCATTGGAACTGAAGCATAGCTCTTAGAATGTGCTTTAAATTGTTAAAATTCCAGGGTCTTGGGAAACTAGCGACAAAGTTTCCCTCGATAGCGAACACCTCAATATACTGCCTAAGAGATTTCCTGGTCACACCATCGCCCATACTGTTCAAGTTGCACAAGTTGGAGATGGAGAAAACAGGCAAGGAGCACATGAAAGTTACATGTATGTCAGTCATGCTTTTTCCATTCACTTGTACACATTTGTGAAACCATTTCAACATGATGCTTACTGAACATTTATAAGTATATTTCATATGTATATGTTTCAGTAATTAATAATTATTATTTTATGTACTACTAATAATTATTCCATTTCTATCTTATCAATACATAACATAAAACGTAATTGTAGCTCATTAAACATTAAATACATTTATCATACTAAAAAATAGGACAAATACCACGATTTCCCCTGATCGTAAAAATTTATATCGTAGTTTCTGCATGGCGATCTATAGATTATGAAATATTCATATAGACTCATGCACATTGCTACTCTGAAAATCTAATATTCGTTCACTAATCGTCTAAATTAAGATTTTATTTAAGAACTAAAACGAAAAAAAAACTAAAATCGTTGTGGATCAATTAAGTTTTATTATTAACTAGTGTTTTCGGTGAAACTTTATACAAGTTAAATTGGTAAGAAGATGATTAACAGGATTTATTGTAATTTAGTTTCATTTAACACAAGAAGGCCGCCATTTAGCTAATGCATAATGTACAGGCAGATAAAAGAATACAGACAATAACAGACAGGAAGAAGTGGCTTATGAAACAAATTGAAAAAAAAAAAAAAAACTGAACGGAGCGGCTAGTTTCGTTCATCTGCGCTCCTCTAGTTTTACATGTGCCTGTGTCTCTTTTCAAATAAATAAAAAAGAAATTAAAATAATACCTATTGGTTTACCTGGCGTTGTACATAGTCCCTTATGTCAACATAAAAATTAACAAATAAATATTTTATCAATGAAAGATATTTTTAAGAATACTTATCTTTCATTTCAATAAATTTTCAACAGATGGCATTATCATACATTCTGTGTAAGAAATTTTTAAACGAGTTTTATTAATATGATAATAAAAACTTTGTTCTACTTCTATATATTCGTCAATAGCGGCAAACGTAAGCTTAAAAAGGCGCATGAATCATTAAATTGACGAGGAATTATGGAAGATATTGCGTACAGACCAAAACCACCTTTGACAAACAATATATAGAGATCAGATCAGCATAATCTTTGTTGACATGATCTTGACACTGTCCAGCTTTGCGACTCAACTGATATTGCAAATGTCCATGGGCGGCGGTGATGGCTTATCATCAGGCGACCCGCACGCTAGTTTGCCTCTATTTTCCATTTAAAAAAAGCATTGCATTGTTGTTACGAAACTTCACGATGGCCGTTGTCGATGTACTCCGCGTAATAAGCGCCCTCGACGCCCCCTTCCAGTGCAGGGAAAAGAGCTGCAGGGGCTGACGAGCTCCGGCGTCCCGGTCAAATCGACCCCCTTCGAGAAGCTTCGCGACGCGGCGATCGAGAACCTCTGCGTGGCGCTGGAGGCCGCGCTCACGGTGGACCCGTTCTGCGTCCCGGCGCTGGTGGGCTCCGTCAGCAACCGGCTGTTCACCGCCGAGACGAGCGACAGGTGATTGGTATACATCATTACCTTTCTGTCGTACAAACATCGGGCAACACTCACACCTCTATCGAATGATATCGTCGTGTAATGCTATGGGATTCAACTTTGATCTGTTTTATGGTTCTTTAGCCTCTGCTAAAATACTGATTCGAGAGTTTTATAGTAAAGCAAGTTAAGTTAGTTAAATATCTTAATTTTAATTGTAGTTTTTAGTATAGAACGCTTTGTTCACTTTTTTCGAATGCGCATTATATGTATTATTATATTAATTTTAGTAACTAAGTTCTTATTAAATGTAACATTCAGTTTGTGAACCAAATAAAAAAATAAAAAAAAAATCATCATCATCATCGACGACCCTGCCCTTATCCCACCCAGGGGCATAACTTTTCAACCATGCTGTAAGGAGTTTCGCCTACGTTTTTCAAGACCGGCCTGACGTCGACTCTCCTTGGGAACAAACACCCGGATCCGGAATAATTACCTGTGGGTCACACGACTACTTTGGCCCGTGTGGGAATCGAACCCACGACCCCCGGCGCTCGATCGTGAGCCACCTGTATTCATCGACTTCCCGCACATTTGCATCACTCCATCCAGTTGGGGGTCGCTCTACACTCGAGAACCTATCTTCCCCAACGGTTATCGGCTCTACGAGCTATATGGCCGGCCCATCGCCTCTTCAGCTCGCCAATCTTTTGAACTATGTGGGTTACCTTTGTGCAGAGAATTAGCGAGCATTTGGATTTCTTAAATTACTTACTATTTAGACATGTACATAGACATAAATTTTATTTTGACAAGCAATTAAGAGCACAAATTATTTATTTAAATTTATTGATTCATTTGGTCAAAAGTATTTTTTGACCAAATGGGTTACTCTATATTCTGGGCTGAAGTGAGTTGATAATGGAGAATTACTAAGCTATGTTGCATATCCAGTACAATACAATGCAGTACTAAATTGTCTAACTTCACATGTTTCGATAGTTAGTAGTATAGTTTCTATAGTTTTAACTTAGTTTTTCAAATTAATAATGAGAAAAGAACTAACTAACCTATTCATCATTATAATGCAATAATAAATTGTTTTCTTTTTCAGCGAGTCATCCCTGATCAGTACGAATATAGTAATCATGCTGGGTCACGTCGCCGTGGCATTGAAAGATACCCCGAAGGCCACAGATACAATCTTACAGTTCTTTCAACAAAGGTGACGTTTAATACAATCACTTATTTTATCTGTTGAATAAAATCACTAAATCCCTATGGTTTTTTTAATGTGAGAAGGTGGCAAGCGAGTTGGCGGTTCAGCTGATGTTATGCGATAGCTGCCGTCAATTGTCTTTTACAAAACCGGTAGGGTTGCAGATACCCTGGCTACCTCACTCGCCAGACGAAACGCAGAAGTAATTAAACGCGGAAGTATAACATTTCCATTTTACGCCGGCCTTCTGTGTGGCCGTGGCACTTACCCGGACGGACCAGTCCATTCCTGCAACAGTGATGACTGTCGTCTGGCCCCACCATAGTTAGGTTTGTATGCTACTGGTGAAATTGTTACTGGCAAGTTTACCTGCTGATTCAGTATGCCATCGGCGGTAAAGAAAACACCACAGGGAAAGGAAAACTGCGCTTCTGGGACATGATAAAAATAAAATTAAACATTTCTATAAAAAAGGACACGATGTGTGCGATGTACACGAACAGATTGATATTTTACTTTTTTAAAGTTAGCTTTAATCTCGGGATTACTAGATCTCGGGAATTAAAATAAAAAAAATTCCCAATTTTCCTTATTTCTTTTTTTTTTTTTCTCAGAGATAAAAGAATTTTTTTTAGTTAGGTTCCTGTTCTATATTTCAAGTTTGTTTTGTAAGTGTTGTGTTTACCTGTAATTTAAATATTTTATTTAAGACTTTCGTATTAAGTTAAACATATTTACATTTCAATGTTCTGTATGTATTTAGTTGGTAAGCCTTAATAAATAAATAAATGAAAATAAACGCGATAAATCCATAAAGTGATATTGCGTAAATACAAGAAATTTTTACGCACATTTACATTAATTACGTTTGAGGTTTTAGTTAGCGCTTTACCGGCATTTTTGTTTAGTTCTCGTAAATGAGTATTCTAGACTGAATATTTAAATTCAGGCTTTGCCGGGCTCCATCTTCGCTGGACACTCTGATTGTGGACCAGCTGGGCTGCATGGCCCTCGCCAGCCCCGAAGGGCCCGCGCACGACGAGATAATGAGGATGTTCACCGTCATCACAGTGGAGGCTGCGAGCGCTGCTTACCATCACACCGACGACAGGAAGCAGTATCGGTTAGTATAAATAATATTTATTGTAAACTAGCGACCCGCCCCGCCTTCGCACGGGTACAATGTATTATACATATAAACCTTTCTCTTGAATCACTCTATCTAATATTTTCTTGTATTTACGCGATTACACATTATAAATGAAACTATCACACATTATAAAATCCGTAGTTTTAAAGATCTAAGCATACGTAGGGACAGACTGACGGCGGGACGACTGTGTTTTATACTGTTTATAATTGTTTTATTTATATATTATTAGTTAGTATAAATCTACGTTAGTAGTTAAAAAATTTATAATATCGATTCCGATATATCGAAAAATATATCGATGGGGTATCTATCGGATTAGAGCGAATGGACGGTCAACTATCGCGTTTCATAACCAGTGATGTGTGTGACGCGTTAGCCGTGCGCATTGGAGTTTCTTCACATTGCGCTTGCGTGTGAGTCCTTTGACATCACTCACCCATCTCATTAGAGTACGAATACACCGACATTTCCCGTGCTCAGGCTTATGTCGGACGCGGTAGTCTCTTTCCATCTCATTTGAGTACGAATCATCGATGTGTGTTTCCCGTGTCCACTCGCGTGTCGGGCGCGTTAGCTGTATCTCTTTCCATCTATTTTGATTATGAATAGACCGACATATCCCGTGCGTATATGCGTCTCTTTTCATCTCGTCTGACTACGAACACACTGACATTTCCCATGTGTATTTTCGTCTCCTCCCATTGCGTTTGAGTATGAATACACCGACATTTCCTGTGCGCATTTGCCTATATTTCCATCTCATTTGAGAATGAATACATCGACATCATCCATGCGTATCCGCATATCTCCCCATCGCGTTTGAGAGTGAATTGTGCGCAGGCATATATCGGACGCGGCCGTCTTTTCATCTCGTTTGAGTATGAATACATCGTCATTTCCCGTGTCCACTCGCGTGTTGGGCGCGTTAGTCGTCTTATCCCAACGCGGTTTAAGTATGAATTCACCGGACATTTCCCGTGCGCATTAGCGTCTCTCCCCATCGCGTTTGATCGCGAACTGCGAACTGTGAACTGCGCAGGCACGTGTCGGGCGCGGTGCTGAACGCGCTCGCGAACGTTGCGGCGAACGCGCGCGGCGCCGCCGCCCGCCTCGAGCTGCTCACGCGGCTGCTGGAGCTGTTCGTGCAGCTGGGCCTGGGCGGGGAGCGCGCCACGGACCGCTCGCCGGCGCCCGTCCTGAAGGCGTCCGCCAGCGCCGGCAATCTCGGCGTGCTCATACCCGTCATCGCGGTGAGCTCATCCCTCCCCTCCCCTCTCTCCCTCTATCTCCCTCTCTTCCTCTCTCTATCCCCCTCTCTCTCTCCCTCTCCAGAATGAGAGATGATTAGGTGCGATCAGAAAAGAAGCGGCTTTTTAAAATTTAGTAGGGAGTAGAGGAGCCGCGATATGTCATGTAACACCTATTGTACACAGTTAAGAATGAAAAAATAAATGATTATCTTATCTAATCTTATCAGTTGGTCCGGACGCTCGCCTTTAATTCAATGTACTCGAGCGACCCGAGTTCGATCCCCGGTGTCGGCACCAATGAGATTGTTAATTTTGAGTGCTGACTTATCACGTGATCCGCGGCGAAGGAAAACATCGTGAGGAAACCTGTACATTTTTGAAATAATAATAAAAAAATATATTTCTAAGATATGTGAAGTCCGCCATACCGCAGTGGGGCCGCGTGTTGGACTATGCCCATATACCTTCAGCAGCGGGACATGTATAGGCTGTTACTTTTTACTTTTTTTTAATTTAGTGCTTATTTAAAATTTTCCTTTCAGGTACTAGTCAAAAGGTTACCACCTATAAAGAATCCAAAGCCAAGACTGCACAAACTGTTCAAAGACTTTTGGCTCTATTGCGTCGTTATGGGCTTTACGGCCGCGGAATCAGGTAATTACCGATCTTTTGTTTCTCTCATTGTGTTCCATATTTAAAATTTTCTTTCCACGATGTAAAGTTACTCTAATTTGATCTTTAATCATACTGTCTTTGGATTCAACTTCAACTCTTCTTCACCCCTCTAACACTGTCTCTTAAATATATTTTTATTCTATGCTGTTTATATAGATGTACTTAAACATCTTGTCTCTTCTTCTTCTATGGCCACGCCTGTAGCCATGCGAAAGCGTGAGTAAATGATGCTTTTAGAGAATAGTTGGTTGTGATTTGTTTTTTTTTTTAACTGGCGATTATAATGAACTGGTATGGTGCTGTATTTTCCAACAGATTATATTTTCAAGTGCCGTCTGTTATTAGTTTAGTTTAGCCGCAAACCGTTTTATGTTATTCTATAATTATTACAACTTGATTTTTAAATTTGATGCTTTGTTCGTTTGCATTGTTAGTAACCGTTACTCGAAGCTGGCATTTTTGTATGAGTTTATTCCGTGTTTAGAAATCAAAGGGGGATTTTTGAGCGGAGGATATTTTTCGTTACGCAAAGATCATGTAGTAAAATACTACATAGTCTACAAAAGACTAGAGATGATTATGTGTATATAGTCATTATTATATAATTGTTATATATTATTATATAGCACCATCTCCGAATATAAAACGACCAGTTTGTATCGTGCATCGGGTGGTACCGCACGTCTGTGTAAAAGTTTGAGTATAATTGTGTGTAATGCCTGTTATGCGACTTTATCCTCTTAATATTGTGCTTTTAGGTCGAATTTGGATCGCATCCTTAGAATACCGTTTTATTTTATAGTTTTAGTTTTATCTTTGGATCAGTTTCGCTTTGACAGTTTTAAGTGAACTTTTATTTGACGTTTTTGAACCCCCTTATAACTTGTGCATTAAACTTTTTGAAGGAATAAATGAAATAATTACACACGTTTATTTCACTCTGTATTGTTCTAACTGCAAAGAAAGTTCCCTAATGCGTAACAGTGTCGAGTTCTTAACATTCACGTACTAACCTAAACCATATAACTCGATTATTCAAAGTCAGTTACGTCGTCGCACTGGAATCTGAGATGTTTCTCCGTTTTGCGCTTCCTGGTTTAACACGCGGAAACCGTTCGGAAACGCCCCGTCAGGTCTCTGGCCGCAGGAGTGGTACGCCGGTGTGAAAGAGATAGCGGTCAAGTCGCCCTACCTTGTCTCGCAAACGTCCCTCCGCTCGGAGATGCGCGAGCTGCAGTACACGTCCGCTGGTGCGGAACGACTCCGTCTCGCTCACCGAGCTCCAGGAGCTGAAGACCCAGATCCTCAACCTGCTGGAGCACCCGCCCGACGTTACGGTCAACGTGAACAAGCTGAGCTTCGCGCCGTGCATGTACCTGCTTAGCGTCTACTGGCTGGAGACACTGAGGTGGGTAATTTTTTTTTTATATATGGAACTGACTGGGAGAGAATGCCCAAATGGCATTAAGTCCGCCCTTTGTAATCCTTTTTTTAAGGTTTTGCAATAAAGCATAAATAAATTAAACTGACCAGCGCTTGACTGCCATCCCACCTGATGGTAAGTGGCGATGCAGCCGTGAATGGTAAGCGCGCTAGCTCAGTATAAGCCTGCTCACTCTTGCCTTGAAGACAGCTACGTTATAAACGGATGGGAAGACCGTCGCCGGCAGGTTCCATTCTTTGGCCGCACGGATGGCAAATGACGATGCGAATCTCTTTGTTCTTGTGGGTGGTACTTCGATAGCATAAGGGTCTAGTTGCCCGATTATGGAAAGGGGCTGGAGGGGTCTCAAGTCGTGCAACTCCAACGCACACTCTCCGAAATGCATCTTGTAGAAAACCGAGAGGCTGGCTACTCTCCGCCTGTGCTCGAGGCTAGTGAGATTGGTTTTGACCGATTATTTGGTATTTTAACCGACTTCAAGAAAGGAGGAGGTTTCAGTTGTTCGGTTGTCTCTGCTGCACGAATTGGTACGATCGTCCGGAGAAGTAGCACCGCCTAACAGAAAACCGGCTTGGACTATCATACTTTCACTTTTCGTCTGGTGAGTGTGGTAGCCGGGGTCAACTTTTTTATTGGCAGGCATCGCATCTACCGTAAGTTGTTGTAGACGAACCACCGGCTTCAGTTCCTCTTCACATAAAAAAACGTATGCAGTTAATAAACGATAAAAGTGAAACCTTCAAGAATGTGAACTTCAAGATTAGGAGATAAATGTAGAATTAATGGAGTAGGATAATAATTGTAGGGTTTATATCTGACGATATTGATACCAAGTTTTATTATGCATTTTTACCATAATATATTAAATATTATTAAGTTTTATCCAGTTTGATTTTTCGATACATGGCACTAAAAGCTTATGGTGACTAGTATGAAATAAATACTTAAGTTTTGATCTGATAAATATAATATATCTTTGAAATACTACGACAACCTTTACGCAGGCGCACACACATACATGCTTACACAGGTACAATGCTCGGACTATTCATTCACACGTTAAATCCTATAGATAGTTCTATATAGAGTTCTAGATAGTTCTAGATAGTTCTATCTCATTTTCTCGCCATCTTATAGATTTATGTGGCTGTCCCTTTATATTGTCGCTTTTTCGAGTTTCAAACCACAATGATGCTAAAGCGGTTGTAACTTCAAAAACTTTTTAGCACCGAAGCCGACGTGAGACTTTTGTAAAACCCTTTGCGATTGTTTCAGGGTAAGCAACTCGCCGGAGCCAAGCTTGCAGCCGATAATTGAGTACTTAAGCGACACGGCTCTACAAAAGGACAAGAGTGGAATGTGGCAATGCGTGGCAAGGTACGTATTAGCCTCAATTACTGTTTTTCTATGTAAATATTACTGAATTACCGGTCAAGCTTTACGAGTATAGGTCTAATTAAAAGATCAAAATAGTTCTATGTCTGTATAACGTCTTGCCGATAGTGTTGTCGCGCGTCTTTTGAAATTAAACTTCTAATGCGACTGCCAACAAGGTTGCGTTAAACGTTCAACGCCCCTGGGGAGGGGGAATAGAAAGAGACAGAGTGAGAGTGAATGCGTGGCACTCGTGGTTTCACTTCCTCCGCGCGGAGGGTCTCCACGCACTATTTCTTTTTTTTGCGTTTATTATTTCTTTTTAATAAGTCCGTCGTTTTAAAAAAAAATAAGTGTTCTTCCCCTACGTTTCCGTACGTTCCAGCGTCGGCGACAAAGTGTTCCAGAAGTTCCTCGACGTGATGTCGGACAAGGTGAAGGACGAGGCGAGGGAGCGCGAGCTGGAGGGCCACGCGCAGTTCCTGCTGGTGAACTTCAACCACATCCACAGGCAGATCAGGCGCGTGGCGGACAAGTGGCTGGCGGGGCTGGTGGACCGGTTCCCGCATCTGCTGTGGAACTGCAGGGTGGGCCTCGATCCGTAGTCGAGCTTAATTTTCCATGCGAAAGGTCGCCAAGCGAGCGGGCTGTTCGCCCGATGCGTCTGCCGCACCCGACGGCCCTAGATGCGTTAACGACCTTGTGAAGCGAAACTTCTAAAGCGACCTCCGATGGGGTTGCGTTGAACGTTTAACGCCGCCATGGGGGGCGTATGTGAGCACTGTTGCGTTAAACGTTCAACGCTCCTGGGGAGGGGGAATAGAAAGGGACGGAGCTAGAGTGAACGCAGGCACTCGAAGATTCACTTGTTCCGCGCGGAGACTCCATGCAGTTTTTTTTATATATTTTTATTATTTATTTATTTAAGTCTATGCACAAAATAAAATGTTTTCATAAACAGCATACAATATCAATATAAACTCAGGTAAAGAACAACATGCAATTTTAATTACAGACGGAGAATGCATACACAGATTGTAGGTGATTAAACAGTATTATAAAACAATAAAAGAAGAACTAAAACAAACTAAGAAACGACATAACTATAACACTAACACTATTCGATTCATAATTATACTTACTTTAAGCTCTTGTTGAACTTCAATAAACTACCACAAACTGTTGCGTGGCCCCACCACAAACTGTGGTGGTTACTGCCAGCGCCGCTGCTCAGGATCGACATTGGTAAGTGCCAATGTCGTCCCTGATGTGAGAAAGTGGTATACGAGCTGGCGGTTCACCTTAAGTGATAACAGCCGCCCATGGCCATTTGCAACACCCGTGGGCCCCGGCTACCTCACTCACCACACGAAACGCAGAAGTGTAACACTTCTACTTTACGCCGGTCGTCTGTGAGGTAGTGATACTTACCCGGACGGACCTGCCCATTCGGGCAACAGTGATCACTGTTGCGTGACCCTACCACAGTTAAATTGTTACTTTTTACTGTGGCGGTCTTGAAACTCCTTCAAAGCCTCGTGTATCATTATTTGTCAGTGTGCATCGTCCTTAGGCCTTTTATCCTTTAATAATAGCTTTCAAATTTCAACCAAGCAACGGCTATATTGTGCACATAGAGGTTTGGTTGAAATTTGAATTCTATTACGCGGTTAATAGATGTCAATTTACCTTCGCCACCTACTCAGGTGCTGTGGTCGATGCTAGACATACTCCAAGTGCTGAGCTTCAGCTTGGAACTGGACGCCAACCAGGAAACGCCGCTGCTTAAGGTGCCGGGCACCGACTTCACTCTCCAACTCCAGGACACTTTGGAAGGGCGAGAGGTACTAACACGTAATCCTTTGGAATTCCTGTATCAATGCAAAATCATTGAATTGGTTAAAAGTAATTTATGAGAAGTTTAGTTTGCTTTAGAATCATTTTCAAGCATCTACGACATATAACGTTCTAGAATGTTTTGTGATTTGAACGCTGGACTAAAGATATCCTTAATAAAAAAAAAATCACTTATGAGGTAAAAACTGGGTGAAAGTTGATAAAAGCAAAACTAAAAATAAACTGTCTTGCTCTGTTTTGAAGTTTTTCCTTTCTTTAAGTTAGGTTCGTAGCCGTGATAACTCATTGTCCGGGCGCTCGCCTTTAATTCAATTTACTCGAGCAACCTGAGTTCGATCCCCGGTGCCGGCACCAATGAAATCGTTACTTTTAGTGCTTACTTATCACTTGCTCAGCGGTGAAGGAAAACATCGTTCGTAAACTCGCACGTTTTCGAAATAATAAAAGGTAACATATTTCGAAGATATGTGAAGTCCGCCAAACGGTAGTGGGGCCGCGCTATGCCCTAAAACTATGTTAATTAATTTTGGTCTCGACAACCAACTTTTTATTATGTGTTATATACTGGGATTTATTAAATGAAACTATTTTTAATATAGTCTGTCCTTTGAACTTAAATGCTGCGGAAAATTAGCTACATTGTGAATTTAAATTGAATTTGAAAACGATAAATCCGTTAAAATAGTTTCATTTAATAGCACGTGGTATTTGCTTTAAATATAAGTGGCGTATGTCTCCGTGGTGCAGTTGCTAACGTATTGGCTTTGGCGTCGGGAGGTCGTGGGTTCGATCCCCACTCGGGATAACTATTTGTGCGACCCACAGATGCTGTTTCGCACCTGGGTGTTTGTCCGTGTGAAATTTATGTTTGTAAAACGTCCTTACAACACAGGATGATATTATCCTAAACTAAGGGAAAAGATTTTAAAAAGAAAAAAAAATCGCAGAATGTGAAGACACATTTATTGCGTTATAAGTAAACATTTTGACGTACACCAGTTTCGGTGTCGACATTCTTTTCGAAATAAGACAAAAAGTCTAAACGGATAAAAGTAATAAGTATTTAATCCTAGGGGCAATGTTTTAAAAAAAATAATTTTTTATCTGTTTTATCATTTCTTTTATAGGGCATAGTCAAAGATTTTGCGGACCGCTGTCACGGTATAGTGCAGGAGGCGATGAAATGGGCGCCTCAGTCTACGCGATCCCATCTCCAGGAATATTTGAATCAGGTGATGATTTCTCACAATTTTCTTTTAATATGCACTAAATATAATCATCATCATTAATGTAATCATCATCGTTTCAGTCCGTCCTAGTCCACTGCCCGACATAGGGCGTTGTGACTGAGTGTGTTTGTAAGTTTATTTCACGCAGCAAAGGATCGACATGACTTTTGCATAAAGTTTATGGGCTGGGAAATTGAATACCAATGAAGCAAAGCCGGGGGCAACAGCAAGTGAACTTCAATTAATCGCACTTTGTTTACCATAATACCCATGTTACCGTATACCCTCTTTTCAGGAGGAGGCCTTTGCTCAGTAGTGGAACTTATATTTTAACTGTGGTAGAGTCGTGGCAACTGTCGTCGTTGTTGCACGAATGGGCATGTCCATCCGGGGAAGTACCATGACCTCACAGAAGACCGGTGTGAAGAGGAAGCGTTATATTTCTGCGTAGCCTTATACTACTTGAGCGAGGCAGCCGGGGCTCACTATATCAAAAGGTGGCAACGCATCTGCACCCCTACGGCTGTTGCATTTGTTACCATCAGGCTCACTTTCTTACATAAAAGAATATATATAGGCAGTAACTTTACCGTTTACCGACTTCAGGTGCCGAATTCCACCCTGTGGCACCATTGCGGTCTGGCGCTGGCAACGGGGGCCCTTCTGGGGGCGGCCGGCCTGAACCGGATGTCGGCGCCCCTGCCCCGCTCCGCCCTGGACAAGCGGCCGCCCTGCGTAACCCACGACTCGGCCGCGCTACTGGCCGTCGTCTCGCAGCGTAGCCGCTACGCCGGCGAGGTGCGTAGCGCGTAGCCCGTAGCCATTCCTCGTAGCTTCTTACGCACCCAGCCGCGAGTAAACATCTGGTGATTGAGATTGAGACCAGCCTGGCGGGAACTATAAGCATTTAAAGTTTTCGGTGATATTTATTTGGATCTTTTTTTTCTTTCTACAAACGTAATGATGACAGATATGATAGAATTGGTAATTGACGTCAGTACATAAAATTGTCTCAAAAAAATGTTCTCTCCTTTCAAAATGTTAATTGTGAAATGTTATTTGAAATGTTCCATGCCGTAATGCCCACCAGAAGGCGTTTAAGATGGCTAAAAGTGCAATAAAGAAAGAGGATGTCGAGAATTTTGCGCTGTGAGGTAATCGATGCTTAGTCGGTAAAGCGTCTGAACGCATTACCCGGGAGACTAGAGGACTAGAGAATAGAAGAAATTCGAAACCGGCATGGCGTTTTCATGGTGTTTTCGATATGCAAAAATGTTTAAAAAAGTTTCGTATTAACATTTTTAATTTACGACATTTGAGAAATTTTATATACTTTTAACAGGTGACCGGCGCCGTGAACGCAGAAGGCGGTGGCGAGGCGGCGATATGGCGCGTGGGAGCGAGACTGCACACCGCGCTAAGGGACGCGTGCACGAGTGGGAGCGAGACGGCGCATAGGGCGGCGCTGTGGCGCGCCACGGCCTTGCTCGTGCACGCACGCCCGCAGACATCTGCGCATGCGCAGACCTCCCCCACTGCCCGCACCTTGCTACACAGCGTCGGTGGGTGTTTACATTGTTTTTATAATAAATGATAATTCGTTGAACATATTGTTGTCCTATTTATTGGTTAATTTCAAAATAAAAACGATTGCGGTGAAGTATCTTACATAATGTCAAGGACCGTTGGTAGCGTTTCTAATTATAGGACCACCGCTGTATATATAGAACAGATGGAATAAATGAAACTAATTTTACGGATTTATCGCGTTTATTTTTAATTTAAGTTCCCGACGTTTCGAACCCTTTACAGCGTTCATGGTCACGGGACAGACTGAGGTGTTAGACGTCTGATTGTCAAAGTTATCCCGGGCTATCGTCAGTTTTTGTATTATTGATTTTGTGTCCGATCTATGCAGAGGGAGCTAATTGTATCTTGTCTTGCAGTAGTGGTTCTTTTGGGCTTAGATTTAATTTTATTGATGATAGGATCCCAAGCTGATGGTAGTACCCAACCCTCTTCTCTATTGAAATTAGGGTGTTTTTTAATTTCAATAGCCTCGCGAATCATCCTCGGGAGGAATCGGTGTTCTTTTGCAAGGATCTGTGGTCTATCAAACCTGATGTAGTGGTTGGGCCGATTTAGAGTGTGCTCACAAACTGCAGACTCGGTCAATGTGTGACAACAAACTTCGAGCACCGCGCCTACGTCACAGTGACCGAGTGAAACCAGCCACAGTGGAGCGAGTACCTGCTGTTCTACCATATGTCAGAGGAGTCACCGACAAGATTGGCTATATCTTAAAGCGGGCTTCAATTAATACATTCTACAAGCCGCTGAAGAAGATTAGTCAGTTTTTACCATCTGTCAAGTGTAATATCCCTCTGCAAGATCCAGGAGTGTACAAACTTGACTGTGAATGTGGGCTCTCTTACATAGGACAAACCAAAAGAGCTATAAAAACCCGCGTGAAAGAACATATAGCTGACATAAAACATAGTAGATTAAACAAGTCTGCAGTTTGTGAGCACACTCTAAATCGGCCCAACCACTACATCAGGTTTTATAGACCACAGATCCTTGCAAAAGAACACCGATTCCTCCCAAGGATGATTCGCGAGGCTATTGAAATTAAAAAAACACCCTAATTTCAATAGAGAAGAGGGTTGGGTACTACCATCAGCTTGGGATCCTATCATCAATAAAATTAAATCTAAGCCCAAAAGAACCACTACTGCAAGACAAGATACAATTAGCTCCCTCTGCATAGATCGGACACAAAATCAATAATACAAAAACTGACGGTAGCCCGGGATAACTTTGACAATCAGACGTCTAACACCTCAGTCTGTCCCGTGACCATGAACGCTGTAAAGGGTTCGAAACGTCGGGAACTTAAATTAAAAATAAACGCGATAAATCCGTAAAATTAGTTTCATTTATAATGTGTAATCGCGTAAATACAAGAAATTATTATGTAAACAGATGGAATATATGAAAACCCTATATATAAACCCAATGGCCGTCTGAATTATTTTGAAGCCGTATGTAGTTTTTATAATTATAATAAACTAATTGTAGTTTTTATAATTTTTTACCGGCACCAATGAAATTGTTCATTTTAAGTGCTTACTTATCACGTGCCCAGCGGTGAAGGAAAACATCGTGAGGAAACCTGCATATTTTCGAAAAATACAAGAAAAAAAATATTTCGAAGATATGTGTAGTCCGCCAATCCGCTGTGTGACCGCGTGGGGTACTATGCCCTAATACCCTCTGTACAGAGTAGGCCCTTGCCCAGCTGTGGGATATGTAAAGGCCTTATTTATTTACTTTACCATCGTTCATCCAGTTTTAATGGACGATGAAGACGTATCCGCCCCATTTTCGCAGCCTGGTCCCAAGTGGACATATTCACGGAGGACGCGGTGACCACGGCGGTGGAGTGCTGGCAGTGGCTGACCACGGCCAGGCCGGACCTGGAGCTGCGGCTGATGCAGGAGGTGTTCGCGGCGTGGCAGAGCACAGTAGACCGTAAGATGGGCCTGTTCTCCAAGCAGCACGACGAGATCAGCCCCCTGGCGGCGTACGAAGGTAATTTGTTCGTCGCCTGTTTAATTTTGAAATCGATTATATTCGTCTGATTGTTCGGTACAAATTTAGGATTACTTAATAGTAGCTCCTGCCCGCGACTATGTCTGCGTAGAATAGGCCGAAGGCGTAACATTCAGCCAGGAAGATAGATATACATAAAAATATTTTTATAATTTATAGCATATGTGTTATTCTGATGCTATATTATTGTAAAGTTTCATTACAATCCATTCAATAGTATTTGCGTGAAAGAATAACAAAGATCATCCATACTATTATATTATATTATATATAAACATAACAGTATATTATATATTAAGTAAGGAAGTAATGATATATAGTTAACTCTCCCATTTGAATCCTTAAACTGTGTTTAGAGCTGAATCGCTAACATTGTTTACTCTTATAGTAAAAACAATTTTTTATTCAATATAGTATTATTGTCAGCTCGTAATTTATCATCAAATGACTACTACTGGTTCACCAGGTCTAGTTTAGACATGTCCAGAGAAGATCCGGCAAGAAACTTTGCGGTCTTGTTATTCTGTTTTTTTTATTATACCATAATTATTTCTCTCATCTACTTAAAAATTATTCTTTTTAATAAACGCAGCTTAATTTGTCGCGGCATGTTATAATTTTGAACTCCAAATAAAAATATTAATTTTAGTGTCGAATGTAAAATTAAAGTAATAAAACTCTTAAGTTTAAAAACTATGATATGGCCAAAACTAGTTTCAGAATAACATTTACGAGTTAAATTAATTTGATAATCATTTGATATAGTTTTATAGAGCCGTGATAGCTCAGTGTCCGGGCGCTCGCCTTTAATTCTATATACTCGAGCAACCTGAGTTCGATCCCCGGTGCCGGCACCAATGAAGTTTTTAACTTTAAGTGCTGACTTATCACGTGCTCCGCGGTGAAGGAAAACATCGTGAGGAAACCTGCATATTTTCGAAATAGTAATAAAAAAAAATATATTTCGAAGATATGTGAAGTCCGCCAATCCGCAGTGGGGCCGCGTGGTGGACTATGCCCTGATACCCCCTGTATAGAGGAGGCCTTTGCCCAGCAGTGGGACATGTATAGGCTGTTACTTTACTTTTATAGTTTTATAATGCAATTTAGTTCCTTATTTTACCCCGTTCATGTAGGTTCTAAATTGGAGCCGAGACCCCCATTCGTGGCACCCCATGCGGTCTGGGTTCGATACCTGTGCGAGGTGGCTGAAACGGCGAAATACAACAGCTTGGAAAAAGTTGAAATGCTGGCTAGCCTTCTTCACAGGTACAATTATTATGTGATTATTATTAAAATGCATTATACATGTGTTTTTCTTCTCTTTCTCCATGTATACGGCAATGATACAGTTAATAAGAATACTACACGTTTAAATCAGCTTAGTTTAATCGTGATTCTGTATGACATAAAAGCGTGGTTATACAAGTTACTTTTATTACATGCGTTAATAAAACAAACGATTTAAATTTTGGCTTTAAATTAAAGGTAAAAGTTTAGGTAATTTAATTAAAAGTACCTACTCGCACACTTGAACAATGACTGACGTCATGTGTGACAGAGACGCTCTATGAAACCGAAATTAGCAGGTTGTCTTTATCTAAATATCGATGTATAATATATATCGCCGAGTACTCACTATTTTGAGTAATGACAACTCATTAGCCAACTATTTTAACTTAATCATCGATGGAACTATTGCGTTGGTACGGAGTGAGTTACGTCATCGTGAAATCGCCTGGTTTCCGTTTGCAGTCGTACGCCCGGTTTCTGAAACACTGATCATCGTAGATGTTAACTAATCAGCTGTCAAATGGCTTTTCAAATGTTTACAAAAAGATGGTTAAACTCTCTGAATTGATCATAATGATCTTCTTAGTGCCTCTTAGGCCGCGCAGCAGCCTCGGCTGTTGCACGAATGGGCGGGCTCGTCCGGGTAAGTATCACGACCTCACAGAAGACCGGCGTGAAGTAGAAGTATGATACTTTCGCGTTACGTCTGGAACCCTTAGGTGTAGCAGATGTCCACAGGCGGCAGTATTCAAATAACATCAGGTGAACCGCCGGCTCGCTTGGCACCTTTTCACATAAAAAAAATGTTAATTCTTCTTGAATCTTTTTGGCTACTCATATGACATTTGAAAAGCCATTTGACAGCTGAATAGTTAACATCTACGATGATCAGTGTTTAAGAAACCGGGCGGTAATGTATTGAGCAATTTTCGTATATAAGCTAATATGATTCGAATATAAGCTAATATGATAATATTCTATTCATTTCAGATCGCTACCGATCACCGTTGGCGACGTAAGAGACCACATCAACAGGCACGTGGAGGCGGCTGGCGTAAGATTCAAGTAAGTATTTTTAAGATTTATCTTTATTTTTAGTGCTACTCTCTGCACTCAAGTGAAATTTTGGAGAGAAATGAACAAAAATTGCGTGATTCGAATCTGCGTCATCTGGTTTCGCGTCCAGACGTTTTACCAACTAAGGTAAGACGCCAAATACCTCAAGACGCGAAAATCTTGTCATCTATATGTTGGTTCTATTGCATTTTAAGCAATGCACGGCGGGATCTAGTATGCATCTAGTGTGTCCGTGTATTCTTCCCTACTGAACGCAATCATGTGCCACCGAAAGAGAGTAGCCCCAGTCTAAGGCAAACATATGGCACCTAAAGCTCGTTCATCCGTTGGCATACCCACGCCCGAGGTATTTGCGTTCGCACCGCAAGCGTTTTGCTTGCGGTGCGGATGCAAATTCCCCCTAACCAGACGATCGCGCGGGCCGTGCAAAAGTTCGCCCCAACTTAAGGCATAACAACAGGCGGCTAGTTCGCTCCAACTTAAGGCGTAGGTGCGTCACCGCAGGTTGCTCTCGTGCGGCCTCTCGCTGCTGCAGGGCGACACCCTGCCTAGATCGCTCGCGCGCAACGTGCTGCGCGAGCGGGTGTACAGCGCGTGCCTGGACTACTTCTGCCGCGGGCTTCAGTGCCCCGCTAAGAGCGCGGGCGCCCTGCGCGAGGACATCATGGCGCTCATCAGGTTCTGGCAGCTGATGCACTCCGACAAGAAGTACCTCAAGTGCAGCGACATCGGAGGTTGGTTGGGTTTTGTGCGGTTTGTGTGAGCGCCATCTAGCGGCGGAGGTGGAGCTGGGAGTTACAGCCTATAGGTCCTTGGTAACGCCTCCTCCGTTGCAAATAATACGAAAGCCTAGACTGTTATTCTGCGTACAAGAAATACTGGCAGCTGATGCACTCCGACAAGAAGTACCTCAAGTGCAGCGACATCGGAGGTTGGTTGGGTTTTGTGCGGTTTGTGTGAGCGCCATCTAGCGGCGGAGGTGGAGCTGGGAGTTACAGCCTATAGGTCCTTGGTAACGCCTCCTCCGTTGCAAATAATACGAAAGCCTAGACTGTTATTCTGCGTACAAGAAATACTGGCAGCTGATGCACTCCGACAAGAAGTACCTCAAGTGCAGCGACATCGGAGTTCGGTTGGGTTTTGTGCGGTTTGTGTGAGCGCCATCTAGCGGTGGAGGTGGAGCTGGGAGTTACAGCCTATAGGTCCTTGGTAACGCCTCCCCCGTTGCAAACAATATGAAATCCTTGACTGTTATTCTGCGTACAAGAAATACTGGCAGCTGATGCACTCCGACAAGAAGTACTTCAAGTGCAGCGACATCGGAGTTCGGTTGGGTATTGTGCGGTTTGTGTGAGCGCCATCTAGCGGTGGAGGTGGAGCTGGGAGTTACAGCCTATAAGTCCTTGACAGACGCCTCCCCTGTTGCAAACAATGCGAAAGCGTTGACGGTTGTTCTGCATACAAGAAATACTGGCAGCTGATGCACTCCGACAAGAAGTACTTAAGTGGAGCGACATCGGAGGTCGGTTGAGTTTTCTGTCGGTTCGTGTCAGCGCCATCCAGCGGTGGAGGTGGAGCTGGGAGTTACAACCTAAAAGTCCTTGGCAACACCTCCCGTGTCGCAAACAATGGGAAAGCGTTGGCTGTTGTTCTGCGTACAAGAAATACTGACTCGTATTTTTGTCCTGTGTACGACAACAGGTTTGACACCGGGCACATTAGGGTCTGAAAACCCCGAACTAATGGAATACTTTTTGATGATTTTTTTATGTGATAAGGTGGCAAGCGAGCGGGCGGTTCATAACCGCCGCCCTTTGTCATTTGGAACATCCTTTGGTTTGCAGATGCGTAAGTAAAAAAAAAAGTAAAGTAACAGCCTATACATGTCCCACTGCTGGGCAAAGGCCTCCTCTATACAGAGGGTATCAGGGCAGAGTCCACCACGCGGCCCCACTGCGGATTGGCGGACTTCACATATTTTCGAAATACATTTTTTTTGTTATTATTTCGAAAATATGCAGGTTTCCTCACGATGTTTTCCTTCACCGCGGAGCACGTGATAATTCAGCACTTAAAGTTAAAAACTTCATTGGTGCCGGCACCGGGGATCGAACTCAGGTTGCTCGAGTATATATTGAATTAAAGGCGAGCGCCCGGACACTGAGCTATCACGGCTCTTGCAGATGCGTAGCCACCTTATAATAATGTGGGCCACGGCTATCTCATTCACCAGACGGAACGTCGAAGAATTATGACACTTCCTCTTCACGTCGATCTTCTGTGAGGTCGCGGTACTTACACGGACGGCCCTGCCAATTCCTGCAACAGCGAAGACTGTTGCGTGGCCCTACCACAGTACAAACTAAATGACCACTACTTATTAGGGCCACATCGTAGATTACATATGTTAGTGTATTACTATAAGTATAGGACTTTTCTTATAAGGTTGAACTCTCCACGTTAGTTCTTGTGTACCAGATTTCGACACCACGGGTCCGAGCAGCCAACAGAGCATATACACATCCAACTCGCCGACCGACAATCGCTCATCGATAAACAGCAGCGACATAGGCAGCCGTCAGACCTCCGGCTGGATCAATACGGTGAGATATTTTGATCTTTATCACCTTGAAATAAGATACACATTTGAAGCCAATTTGTGAGCGGTAAATGTAAAAGCTGTATTGCAAGTGAAGGATAATTAAAATAAAAATGATTAACCTTATAGCTGGTAAAATAGCTATACGTTAATTCTTAATAACTTCTTGTATTTAGGTGTAATTTACTAAATGAAACTATGTTTACGCATTAAAATTTTTGTGTATATAAAAGAAATAAACGCGATAAAAGAAATAAAAGCATAAATTATCCAGGAATTTATTCCTTCCTAAAGCTACGGGCTACGGGGCAAATTTTTTTGCACCGAAGGCTATTATGTCTCGAACACAGAATTTGCGAAGTCAATTTGATTCATTCCTTTATTCGTGGTAGTGGCTAGTCGGTTCCCAATGAATGCATTTAAGCATCTCGACCCGTGACGTCACTGGCAGGTGCCAATGTCGACCACGACCCTGAGCAGCGGGGCTGGCAGCATAGCTGGCAAACGCTCGAACCGCAGCGTGAAGCCGGTCAGCAAGCCGCAGGACACTTTCGTGAAGGACTACGTAAGGAAGAGGAACCTAATCCTAGAACTGATGGTATGGAAACATTTCTATTATATTACTTGAATTTAACCTCGTAATTTAGTCGTTGATGATGACTTTCTATTTATTTTTTCGTGACGGTGTATTCTTATAGTCTATTTACTGAAATATAAGCAAGTGATTGCCATAACTATAGAATTTTTAATTTCGGAGAAAAAGATTCGCATCCCGTTTTTGAATATTAAAATCTTCATCCGACCGAACCGGGACGGAGGACGTAATATTCGCAAAATATGTTTACTTCGTGGAAATAATTCGACAACACTACGCAACACTACGACAGTTTCAGGCGCGTGAGCTACGGAAGAATGCATAACGAGAAAACTGCAAGGGCTTAAAGTTTTTTATGCCCGGTTCCTTAATTCAACGAGCGTCCGTTAGTTACATAGCTTCGTAACTTTCATAACGGCTTGCAGACAAAAGGCGTGTACGCCCGGTTCCTATAATAACAAAACGACGCGATTCCCTTACGGGCCGTTGCGTTGCCTACGGAAAGTGAGTTACAAGTCGTTATGAAAGCTACGCAGCTATGTGACTAGCGGGCGTTCGTTGAATATAGGAACCGGGCATTAATGGTGGATCGCTGCAGGCCGTGGAGATCGAGCTGCTGGTGACGTGGCACAACCCGCACGCGCGGCCCGAGCAGGCGGTGCCGGGCGAGGACAACATCGCCACGTGGCGCTCCAAGCCCAATACCGAACGGACATGGCGCGACTACGCCAAGCACGCGTGGGACATCAGCCCCGCGCTCGCCGTCTTCCTCCCGGAGAGGTGCTTTTGTCTTCTCTTTCCTTCTCTTTTTTTTATATGGGGGAAAAGGGCGAACGGGCAGCAGGTCACCTGGGGGTAAGTGAATACCGCCGCCCGTAGACATCTGCCACACCCGAGGGTTTGCAGATGCGTTGACAACCTTTTTGGAAATTGGGCTCCGGATAACTCACTCACCAGACGAAACGCGAAAGTATTTGTCATACTTCCACTTTACGCCGGTCTTCTGTGAGGTCGTGGTACTTACCCGGACTAGCCTGCCGATTCGTGCAACAGCCGAGGCTGCTGCGTGGCTCTACCGCCGTTCTTCTCTTTCTCTCTCTTTTTTTATATGGAGAAAAGGGCAAACGAACACGAGGGCACCTGGGGATAAGTGATTACCGCCAT